GTGGAAGAAAAATTAACTGTTGCGTTAAACAGAGTCATGGCATGGATTAAGGAAAATCGTCTTGTTCTTAACACTGAAAAAACTTGTGTCATGTTAATAGGCTCTCCTGCTAATCTCAAGAAAATTGAATCTTTCACCACTTCATTAAACGGCAATTTGATCAAAAGAGTTCAATTCACCAAATGCCTAGGACTTTTGATAGATGAAGAATTGAAATGGTCTAAACAAATCGAAAACGTAAGTAAACTTACCCAGAAAAACATTAGCATGATAAAGAGAGCAAAGAGTTTTTTGCCTCAAAAATCCTTAAAGTTACTTTATAACAGTCTAGTGTTGCCACGATTAGATTACTGCTCTGTTGTATGGTCGAACCGATTTCATTCTCATACAACTAAGCTGCAAAAAATTCAAAAGAGGGCCGCAAGAATAATATTGAACAAGACATATGACACACCGTCGGCTGATTTGTTCACAAGTCTTAAATGGATGACACTAGACAAGCGGTTTGAGTTAAGTCGCGTTATGATGATATATAAATGCGTTCATAACTTAGCACCCTCTTACCTTCAGGTAGGCTTAATCAATCCTAATGATGTACATGCGCATCATACAAGGCAAATAGACAGTGGATGTTTACGTGTGCCTAGATTTCACACTGATTGTTATAAGTGTAGCCCAATTGTTTCTTCCATATTTGAATGGAATAAGCTAGATAATTCGTTGAGAACGGCTTCCTCTGTCAATTCATTTAAGAGATTGTTTAAACAAAGTTGTAATTTGTGAATGGCTCAGCCGTACATACACTACGTGCATGTTCTGTAATATTTACATGTCTTATTCACATAATTGCGACTTAATTAATATTTTCCTATTGACATTACTGCTTACTAGGTTAATGATATATGTTAATTTTGCAAACGAGTATTATTTTTGTAACTGTTCTGTATAAATGTTATAAACGATGTAAATATGTTCATTCAGGGCCCCATGGAAGACCACTACTTGCTGGTGAATGGGCTACCCTGTCAAAAGATCAGAAATAAATAAATAAATAATTATCACTCTTAATCCTTGTCTGAATTCATATTCGCCAATCCCGCCCGAAGCGCGGAAGCTTTGACACTTCATTAAGTTATTAAAGAATGAAGAGGATTCGTTGTACTGTTCCAGACTTTTACTTCTTGTTACGCCCCTCGCGCGAAGTGCAGAAGCTTTGACGTTGCATTAAATTTTAAGAGAAAGAAGACGATTTGTTGTAGCCCACTGTTTTCATTTCTTAATCCTTGTATGAATCAGTTTCCCCCCTTACGCGCGGAAGCTTTGACACTTCATTAAATTATTAGAGAAAGAAGAGGATTCGCCTTGTACCGTTCCTGACTTTTACTTCTTATTACGCCCCTCGCGCGAAGTGCGGAAGTTTTCACGTTACATTTAATTTTTAGAGAAAGAAGACGATTTGTTGTACTGTTTTCGTTTCTTAGTTCTTGTCTGAATTCAGTTCCCCCCCCCCCCCCCCCCCCCCCCCCCCCCGCGGAAGCTTTGATGTTTCATTTAATTATTAGAGAAAGTAGACGATTCGTTGTACCGTTCTCGACTCTTAATCCTTGTCTGAATTCAGTTTTCCCCCTCCTGCGCGAAAGCTTTAACGTTTCATTAATTTATTAGAGGAAGAAGACGATTCGTTGTACAGACTCCTAATCATTGTCTGAATTTTTTCTTTTGTTCTTTTTTCCGATAAAAAGTCAAAGTTCGTAGGGAGAAAAAAAATTGCCGGCCGACCGACATCTTACCGACTTCTGCATTGATATAGTACACGAGGATCAAGCAGGAATACCGACACAGTGTATCCGAAACAGCAATTTTTTCTATGCGTATCTTTCTTGCCCCCTCGACGTATACATCATACAATTATTGCTTAAGCATTGTACTTTGCAGTTGGGTGTGGTGTCTGTTTATTTATTTGCGAGAGAGCGAGGAAAATTGTAAAGATTTGTGAGGTGGCAGTTCGACAAATTACATCTTATAAAGAGGAAAAATAAACAATCCTGATGGGGTTATAAGCACACTCTCATAACGGAAGACTGAAATGACCTTTGATAAGTAGTTGCTTTAAATTAGGGGCACATTTAATGATGAGAGGAAAAGGGGACACTTATCGAAAGGGAAAAACTAAGACACTAATTAGAAAAGAAATGGAGCACGTGTCAAAGTACAAAGGGTAATTATCAGAGGTGAAAATGAGGCACTTCTTACACCTAGAAAGAGGCACTAACCAGGGATGGAAAAAGGGCACTTATGAGCATGGGAAATGGGCATTTGTCGACGGAAGTGGGGCACCCATCAGATTTTGATAGGGGCATTTATAAGAGTTGAAAGGGGGCACTTATTGCACCTGAAAAGGGGCACTGACCAAATATGAAAATCGGCACTTATGAGAATATAAAAAGGGCACTTATAAAAAAAATAAAGGAAAAGTTTAATTTTTTGAAAGAAAATTGGTACCGATCAGATTTTAATAAGGGCATTTATCGAGGGTATAAGGGCACGTTTATGAGAAGGGGAAGTAGCTCTGATTAAAAAGAAAATAGTCACATGTCAAAATAAACGGGGCACTTATCAGAGATCGAAAGGGGAAATTATGAGAAGGGGGAAGGGCACTTACCTCAAGTGAAAAGGAGTAACTTTTTGTACTTGAGAAGAGGAAGGTGCTCTAATTTTTTCTAATGTGGGCACTTATCATAGGGAAAAGGGCCGCTCATAGGAAAAGGGGCACATGTTAAAATTAAAGGTGTGCTTATCTGAGTTAAAAAGGGGTAGTTATTAAAAGGGGAAGGGGCACTTCTTACAAAGGAAAAGGGGCACTTGTCAAAGTAAAGGGGGCACCTCTCAGATTGGACAAGAGCAATAATCAGAGTTGAAAGTGCACTTTAGATCAAAAGTGAAAAAGGGCACTTTTCGTACCTGAAACCGGGCACTTACTAGGGATTAATAAAGGCACATATAAGAATGGAAAAATTGACAATCATTGCAAAGAAAAATTGTTGAAGGAAAAGGGGGCACCTGTAAAAAAAAGGGGCACTTATCAACGTTGAAAAGGAGGAAGGACATTTTTATAATGGAATTGGGGCACTTCTTACAAAGTTAAAGGGACACTTTTTGTATGTAAAAAAGGGGCACTTTTGGGTACTTGAAAAAGTGGGGGGCACTGTGTCTTCCCCTGCCTTTCAGGGATGGCAGCCTCTGTATAGGACCATGCATTTTCAATATTGTTTTCATAAGCTAAGCGTATATAGTTTTTCTTCATTTTGTTGCCAACTTTTCTGTCAAATATGCCTGTATCAAGCGTGACCGGTACTTTAAAAAAACCTCATCTAGACTGAAAACAATAATTTATATCTAGTCATTTGTTTTGTATTACAGTTATGTTTAGATACAGAAATACTTTTTCTCAATATATCAATTTCTGCCATGTCATTGCTATAGTAACAACAATGTTCTGAAATAGATGCGACTTAGAATGATCAAGGTCAGGAGAGGTATCAAAATTTTACCTTGAAATGTATATCTTTCAAAATTTTCAATATGTCAAATCCCAAATCTTTCAGATCACTTGCGCATCAAAATACAGTCTGATACTAATTTGAAAATGTTCACATCAACTTTCAATAGATCCGCTGTTCACCTAATGCAATGACCATGTAATCTGATTGTGATGTATTTATTATCATTTTTTACATCAGAAATTAGATGCAAAGTTTCTTAGAGAGCATGATAAGGCCTAAAAAAAAAGATTGTATTTGCCCTTTAGCTGCCAAAACATGGGTCGGTCGGTTTTTTTTTTTTCTTTTTTCTCCCTCTTTGGGCTGATATTTTTCAGTTTTGAATGCTTTAATATATTATTTTTCTCTAAAAAACGGAAAAATAAAAAAACTTCTTCAAAAAGCTGACCATAGATTTCAAGATTTTGGGGTTGGTCGCAAAGGGTAATACAACATTTTTTTTTTTCAAGGCCTAATGAAGTGTTAAAATGATCTAATGGATCATGCACATCAACCAATCACACAACTCAGGTTCCCGGCATTCAAAAAGATATATAAATAATAAATTAATTAATCTAAAAAATACTGTGCTGCACTTATGCCAGGCTTGGCTGGTTAATCTGTCTCTGTCTCTGCCTCCACACACATTTACGTATTCATGAATATATGCACAAATGTTTTCATAACACACAAATTACTCTGATTTGATATCTTAGGGCCTAATGTTGATTAACAGAAAAACTATCAATTCTTTTCTCTCTATACTGGTAAGAAATTTAAAGACAACACTGTACTTGAAAATTTTCTCAAGGTATTCCAATAGATTATTGGAAAGATGTCATGATGAACGCCCTAGACTTGTGTTTTTGCAGCACTATTTGAAATGGAACATAACTTTTTACATATTAAAGATAAAGACCAGTTATGGTCATGCGATTGCATTGTGAAAGAAACATTGTGGAATCGATCAGAAAAGGTTGATCATCTAGCATATAATTATTGGTGTGTACTGTAAGGTTCTGGAATCATCAAAATGATAAGAAATTTGGCCCAGTCTTCGTAAATTTACAAGCACTGTACACAGAAAGATGTATATGGGACTACGCACACGTGCGCGACATGTGTGTTTATCTCTCACACACCAATAGATAAACTACCGGTAATTTACCAAATATATCAATTAGTGGGCGGTTTCCCAGCAAAATTTTTATCATCATCTATTAGTCAAAACATACTCTTTCACATGATTGGTAATAAAGCTCCAATTTCATTTTTTGAAATTGGAGCGTTTCCAATACTGGTCTTTACCTTTAAGCATAAAATTTGAATTTTTATATTTAAGTAATAGCGAAGCAGAGAGGTAGAGAGAGAGAGAGATAGAGAGAGAGTTGGGGGGGGGGGGGATAAGGAAAGAGAGAAGGGGGAGAAACATAATTCAGATCTTTCATGCAGAATACGTACCTCTTCCTGGCCGGACATTACAGCCATGCAACTAGAGAGGGCGCTACATGCTTCATGTGATCTATCAACGATGCCTTCAAGTCTTTTGGTCAGCTCTGATAAAGAGAAATCATAGTTATGATACTTTATGAGAAGAAAAAAAATCTGCTGATTCAGTTAGGTAATAGCTTCAATACTTCAGTCAATATCAAACACATAGCAAAAGAATAAACTAGTTTGTACCGTGAGGAAACACATACATATACTCTGCATAATTCAAAGTTGTACAAGTGGTATATTCCCTAAGTCAAATCAAATTTTGTATTAAAAAAAACTATTCAAAACATGTGTTATTTACACTTCCAAAGTCAAATTTTACATGAATCAAACCATTTTTGCGGTCCCATCAGATTGGACAAATGCAGTGTTAACTCATATCCAATTTTGCTATTAACTTGAATAGTTCCCTATTTGCAGATCTGCTTAGGCAGTAATTACACTAAAGTACCTTGCATCACATCTGAATATTATATGAAAAACTGATAATCATCATCATCATCATTCATTGATTCAGAACATAAAGTCGTCTTTATTACATTCTATGGAACACAGATGGAAGTATTCTTCTCGAGAGGGCTACAAAAAAAGAAGGCATTTATGAGGCACCTCCATGACTTGGGCAGTGAATTTTCTAAAATGTACAAAGTGGAACTAAAAGATCTATGGATATTTGGGGTCATTTATACCATGTGCTAATTACCAGTCTACTGCATAACCACATCTTTGACAAAATAAAGCCTGTTAAAAAAAAACTGAAGCAAATGTTGGGTCAACAAAATGGGCATTTACTTCAGCCCATGTTGCACCTATTGACCTATATAAGCATAAGAAAACTAGATTTGGGAAAGGATGAAGCGCATAATACCTGACAGGTTGATACTGTTACTGGTGTCGCCTTTAAGTCCGTCCATCCATTGCGACAGATTCCTGATGCTCTCCTCCACAAGGTGGTGTCTTGTTTGGGCATTCTGGAAATTGAAGAAGAAAAAGGAAGGTATTTAAAGAATTAACCATTTAAACAGACAGGGGATCAATCACCTTTAAAAAGTTTATTTGTGTACAGCTACTATGGATAAACTTAGCACTAGGAACTTTACATGTTATTTCATGGGTAAACGATTAGGGAGAATGAAGAAAACAAGGTGACATTATTATATCCTGTGCACTAAATGCAAGTGTGACTGTCGTCAAGGTGTAGTGTTTATGGACTTAAAACTTATGGTAAGTATCTTTGAAAATATGTTGTAAAAGTTGTTTTAAAGTACAAAGGATATTAATGCCCAAAAGATGAAATGAAAAATATTTTTTAGGATCAGAGGACAAACCTTCAAGGTATCTTGAATGGAGCTTAATGCAAGCAGTTTCTTCTTATTTTCTCCTTCTTCTTCATCGTCAGAGTCAGAGTCAGCGATGATGCAAGAACTGGCCAATCTCTCACTGTAAGATCTATGCTCCCTCAGAGCGCTAATCCATTTCTAAGTGTTAATGAAAAAGTGTGTAAATGGTTATCTATTTCAATGAAGCTTCAAGTTGCAATTTTCATTCATTTATTTTCATTTTCACGTGCCTTCATCCAAACATGGCAACAAATATTACAAAAAGAAGCAAATAAACCATAATTATAACAATGATTTTATAATTTCTCTCACAACGTAAAATACTGGATGATAATAGACCACTTCGGAGGTAGCACTTGTAAATATAACCCCCAAATATCCACAGATCTTTTAAACATGCACAAGTCACACTTTGTGTATTTTAGAATTATCACTGCCAAAGTGATGGAAGTGTTTCATGAGATACTTTTTGCATGCCATATTGAAAAGAATACCTCCACATGTGTTCCATAGAATGTAACATTGGTGCTTAAATGAATAATGATAATTGAGACTTTGAAGCTTGGTGGGTTTTACGGTTTAGGTAAAAATGACCTTCATCTACCCATGCACAGATTGTATTTTCAAATTCAAATTCAAATTCAAATTTATTCATGTTTCCAACAAAACATTACAAATCAATTATAAGCATTTTAAAACAAATGTAAGAAATACATGTTGGAAACAGAGGGGTCCACTAAAAAGCAATGCTTGTACAAGTGTGAACACCTCAAATGATACTTAGGAATAATGAGTAATTAAATTAACTAATCTTTAACTACAAAAGGAACTACAAAATAGGGGAAAGAAAAAGGGGGATGCCAACAGAGACGTGAAAGGGACCTGGCTTATTATGGTTACATGATAATGGTAAACAAAATAGATGTTCTTACCATTAGAATTTTATAAGTGCCATTCAGAAAAAGGGGCTTGTTACAAAATATATGTGGGGGTAATTTCAACTTTTTCCATGAGGAGGTTGTAAAACAACAGAATGGTAAAATCAAGAAAGGATAACACTACATTGTCCTTAAATATATCCATGAAACAAGATTCACTGAAATTATTATTCATACGGGGTGTCTCAAAACAGAAATGCAACAAGAGTTTGAATGACAATATCTTTTTTTTTAAGTCTTAAGCTGTCCTTGTGAAAATTTCATAAAAATGTCACTGAGGATGAAAGAGTTCTTCTTTAGATATTGCCAATTAAACTGTTGTTGCATTTATTTTTAGACACCCTGTATCAAAAATATCACCACTTTTGAAATAAAAAAGTATAGTGATACGGTTCTGAAACGTTCAAAAATTTAAAAAAAATATTTTAGGAGTCGTATAAATCTCTATTTTAATACCTGCAAAGAGAAAATAATTTTACAACCATGCCATTAATTATATAAAAATAGTCAATGAATTGTAGACGTGTTGTGGTCTAATAAGTCACCGAGCTGTGGATCAAATGGTTCACAGCTCAAGTCCTACTGTGGCACTTATGTCCTATGGCAAGACGTCAATCTCCCTTTGCCACTCTCTCCGTCCAGGTGTTAGACGGGTATTGGTAGGAAGGAATTCCTTGAATGCTGTGAGCACCGAATCTGTAGCCTAGAAGGGCCTGGGTAATGTAGGAGCACCTTGCTATATGCGCGCTAGAGAAATATCCATTATTATCATTATTATAATTAATTGGCATACCTCTCTTGTCAAGTCACTAGAGAACTTCTCATCCAGCATCCAGAGATGTGTTGAGCCTTCATTGTACTTCATGGCAAACATACTATCATTATCAACATTAACCTTAAATTGAGAGAATGAGAGAGGGAGAGAGAGGGGGTTATAGAAACAGATAAAACAAATGTACAATCTTTTTTGTTATAATGATAGGGTATCGGTTTATCTTCATTTTTACCTTGAACGGATCAAGGAACAAAAATAAACACCCCTGGGCCCCGTCTTGTAAAGAGTTGTGATTGATCTGAATCGATCGCAAGTAAGTTGAAATTAATCGCAACTGTTTATAAGACGGAGCCAGGACTACAGATCAGATTACAAATATAAATTTTCCAGGTCCCTCAGAGAGGACCTAAAGCCGTCGGTCTTCTGGTTGCTTACTAACAAGCATTTATGCTTTCTTAGCAGTCAGGTTAAAATAACCACCACTACTATGATTTTTATATTTGTTCAATTAGATGTTTCACATGCACAGCAATGTGCTTATCGGTCATATAGTGATACCAGGGTGTTGTTTGATCGCAAATCCTCCAATCAATCGCAACAAAATTTGCGAACTTCAATTTATTTAGCCCAGAGTTGTGATTGGTATCAAGTCCTGATTGAGGTGAATCGATGGCAACTCATTATAAGACAGGGTATATGTCAACAAAGACTCAATTTTGGTCATGACTGAAGTCAAAATACTACATGAATATGTTTTCATCTTGGAAGTAGAAACTCAGAACTTGGTTACATAAATAAGTGGTGTATGTACACTAGTAGCTTTACATGCCAACTCTTTATATGCCACACAAACAATATAACTGTGCCACATTGTTTCATTTTGGGATAGATATACCAAAGGCGTCAAGAATCAAGATTATTGAACTGTTTCCCATGTATCTTTACTGGTGTTACAAGGAAGATTGTCATGGAGCTAATCAAGACTGAAAATGGGTAATTTTGCAAAACCACCATGTTGCACAAAGCAATCTTTCCGTCAATTGGTGCCTATTTTTTTTCTCTTCAAAATTGCATGTGTGGCAATTGAGTGACCATGCAGAGAGGCAAAGAAAGCAACAGTACTGAAGTGTTAAATACGGTATATGAAGTTTTCTTCCAAATTTCTACAAACTTTGATATCTGCATTGTCCAAACTTTTACAGCCTTGTCGCTTCACTCCTGCATATGCATCAGCCCTATAGGCACAAATTTAAAGGGACAAATAACAAACAAAAAACACGGGAAAAAAATGAAATTACATTAATATGTACTTTGTAACTACATACATGATATCTTAGTGATATCTTAAAGGTATTACAAAGTTTTGGTATGGGGTCATGAATTTGGTTCAAATTAACATATTGGAAGCATATGCGGTCCTACAATATTCATTGATCGTTGTCGCGGTTGAAATCGAGTCTAAAGTTATGAAATTATAAATAATAAACAATTTATGTTGTATAGCTCCCTCTCAAGGTCAAGATGTTAATTTAGTTAAGAAACAATGTTTCTGAACTAAAATCAACCGATTAGCTAATCCCGTTGGAAATTATATATCACAACTACATATTCTGAGATTTTCATAGTCGCAGCTACCATTGCACGGCCATAGGCGCTATTTGAAATTTATCAAAATTTACCGGGAGCACCAGTAAATTTTTATATTCAATTTTTCTCGAAAACAGAAGTGTTTTAGGGGCTAATTTTTTAACTGCTTATAAACATCCACAGAGGCATCCAAATATATCAAAATTGTTAAGATTCACTATCCACCCAATTTTCAAAATTTCCCAAAACTTTGTATTACCTTTAATACCAGCATACACTGTACTAGCATAATATTGTTACTACGAACACATCCCTGCGGATTGTTGGGATACAGACCCAATATGGTGACTTTGCATTACAATTTCTTTTTACAAACATACTTACAGTTAACTGTATTCTACTAATTCAGTGAGACCTAGGACTCAGTAAGCCACTTTTAAGGACAAAATTACAACCTTGGTCTAACTTCCTTTGTTAGATTTGACTTTAGACTAAGCTTAAACCGAGCATTGCATGGGTTTAAATGTCATTAGTAAACAGACAGATACCATTGAGGGTTAATTAGAGCTTCTTTTCCCACATAACATAATTAAATTGATAAATAAATAAATTAATAAATTAATTAATAAATTAATAAATAAATTAATAAATTAATAAATAAATTAATAAATAAATTAATAAATTAATAAATAAATTAATAAATTAATAAATTAATTAATAAATTAATAAATTTAGATTAAAAAAAAATTAAAAATTATTTATTAATAAATGAAAAGGGTAATCAACTGTTCCTAGACAAAGACAATATAGAAGGCTGAATAGTTGCCAGTGTAGAGTCAAACAAGGATTTTACAGTAGTATATTATATTTTATAGTATATCTTGCTCTTAGCTTCAGTTTTAAAATTATACCTGTTCCTGTAATAACTCAGCATACCCTGGTCAAGCACCACCCAAAGGTGTCGTCTTCTCATCATACCAGCCTGCAACAAGTAAAGAAATTGAAAGGTAAACCAGTGCAATCATGGTACAGGGTATGACAGTAATAGCATCTTTAGATTAAAGGTATAGACCAGTTTTGGAAACGCCCCCCTCTCAAAAAATGAAATGGAAGCTCTTATTACCAATCATGTGAAAGAATATGTTTTGACTAATTAGTGATGATACAAATTTTGCCGGGAAACCTCCTACTAATTTATATATTTGGTAAATTATCATATTGATCCAGCCTTGAAAGATATCCCGAATGCGCTTCAACATGGAACATTTGGACATATATTTCTGTTTTTTTGCAAATTTAGGTTGAAGTATTGCCATCTAAACCTCTGAAGGCAATATTTAAACAATATTGAATGGATATTTACCACCAAAAAGTCACAATTTTACCACTACCGGTCTTTACCTTTAACCCTTTCAAGAAAAACACTCTACGTTTTGTGGTTTGGTGCAATAACTTTTGATTCAGAGTCCTACAAATATATACCAGATGCATGAAGAAAGGAAAAATAGAAGAAGATTATTGCATACGTTGTACCCATTTTGTTGCATGACCTCATTGCACTTGACACCATAATAGGTAAACAAGTTATAAATTCTTTAAATTAGCAACATGTTGAGGGATAAAAATCACTGTTTTTCAAACAAAATTGGATTTTTTTGTTGTTGAATTTGTTAAAATACCCGGTAGCTTATATTCATGAGCATTTCAGAGACAGTGCATTTTATTCAAAGGTATTCTGAGCATGATTTTATCTCTAAGATATTTGGTTCCGAATACTAGAAAAAATATTGCAAATTTTTCGGTTGGGTTCCAGTCTTGGCTTTTCTCTCTACCATCACTACATACATGTTGGCATGTTCATAAGAGAGATATATCACTTTTGATCTACACTTTTTCAAGAGGCAGCAAAAATGATATCAAATGAGAGATTCTGAATAGACAAACTATATTGTCTCACACTCACCCTATATAATGGCCCTTCAAATTTATTGACATAGCTATGAACCACCTGTAATAAAGAAAATTGGGATATAAGGGGGAAACAAATGAAAAATAGACCAGTACACAGCTTACTGGTATACTGCATACAGTATGAATCACCTTTCTGGCATTGCTAAACTGTTCTTTATCTTATATACCGGTATACATGTATCACATTGTACTATTGATTAAATAAATCAAATAATACTTCATTAAATTATTAAATCATCCATTTCATTATTTGAATATTTTAGCGAATTTGAGCCAACTTCCCTTATCAATTTTAGGTCTGCATGCCATTCCATACAAATTAAAATACAGCGGACTAGAAATTCAATTTAAGTGAGAACTTATATATACATGTGTATTACAATATGTGTCATTCATTCATTTGAGTCACAGAAATGTTGGTAATTAGTTCTGAATAAAGAGGTTGATACTGTTGATCAATCGGTGAACTAGCTTATCATCCTCCTTGTCTGGGCCAGGGATTAAACATAGACCCTGTTTTACAGACAGTTAGTCACTTGAAACCAATCGCAACCCTGTGGAAGTTTGTGATTGAGATGAAGACTTGCAATCAACATGGATCAATCCCAACTCTCTATAAGGCCTGTTTTCATCAGCTCGAGTTTGCCAAATAACCCGCTATTTTAACTATCCCGTTATCCAGTTAATAAGCGTCTTTATCAGCCCCCAGTTGCAATTAGCGGGATATTTGGTGGAGAAAAATATACCAAGAAATCTTGGCCTTGTTTCCAAAAGATCCAGCTATTTGGGAAAAAGTGAGCTAATTTGCGCCTGTCTGAGCTAGTTTGTGATGAGCGTATCGGTCTGGCGAAGACGCAATTTCGAGCTTCGGGATAATATCCCGAGTCTGAAAATAGCGAGTTATTTGGCAAACTCGAGCTGATGAAGACAGGCCTTATGAGACAGGCCTTATGAGACAAGACCCTGATGATAAGTTCTCTAATGATTTTTTTTACTCCGGGAAGCATCTTTGAAAATCAAATTTGTTGTTTCTGAGAGCCCTGCAGTTAATACCGATACCCCCACAATTTCAAGATACCCATTTACACCTGGGTGATGAGTAGCACATGATGATTAATGTTTTGTTAGAGGACATTATTTTGCTGGGCTGGGATTCAAACCTTGAACCCTTGAAAGGAGGGTCAAGGGCAAAATCAATAAACCACAACACTTCTATTATCTGGTCTATACATATAATTAGCCTGCCGCAAAGACTATGAATACAATCTATTTTTCTAAATTATGCATATACATAAACAAAATATTATTCAGCATAATATATATGAATACTGTTCCATCCTTTTTCGTATTTTCCTACCTTCATTGGCCGAAGGCTCACTAGCTGTCTGATGTGGTATGACTGTGCTAGGTCAAGAGCCGTTTGACCCTTGGAATTCTTCACATCAGTCTTTGCCCCGCTCTGTAGTAACAAAATGGCCGCCTCACGCTGGTCACTGCAGCAGGCCCTATGAAGAGGAGTATGTCCGCTCACATCTGTGCAGTTTATATTGGGGGGTCTTGGGCCTTCCAGCTAAAAAAAGGAATCAAAGAAATTAATTGGATTTGTATAAATTTTATATTCTGTATTGCATAGTGCTTTTCACACATTTTACACACGATCTAGTTGCAGTATATTTCCTAAGCCGTCTGACTCATATATCTTAATTTAATCCAGTCACCAGGGTTAATATAATGCGCTTTGGTCGGTTAATTATGTTCAGGGCAATTTAAATTGTAAGAATTGTGATTTAAATCACTTTCATAAACTGTGTTAATTTTTTGTATAGATATCTTTAAAAAAGTGGATTTTTAAGTGCGTAATCATGTGCTCAATATCATTTATTTTAGAGCAGTAAAAGGCGCAATGCCATTTGCAATGACCCATGATGATAGACCCTACTGCACTGGTAAGGAGTGTACTGGATCCAAGATAAAAGCATCAAAATCAATTATTAATCCCTTCTGTACCGCTCTGAATTATGAAATATTGTTACTATACAAGATTTATGTGCCAGAAAAAGATCTATGATAGGGAATGATAGAAGAAATGGCAGTAAAAAACATTAACAGCTTTAATAACCCCTATATTTTCACACACTCTAGCTTGTCAGCAAACACAATATTTGTGGAGTTACTGGACAAAATATTTGTAATAGTTGAATGCAGAGATGCCAACTTTTGGAAAAAAGAAATAGGGAGGATTTGTTACCGACACCAAATAATGTGCGCGTAGCGCCCAACCCATGCGGCCGGGTCCAGGGCCCACCTTAGGGTCCTGGAAGCTCTGGGGTTCTAGATGCTCTCTGGTGCAATCTGAGCCTTATTTTGCAGCATTTTACATGTGTATTTAGTTAAATAATTCCCACTTTTGTTAAAAATAACATACAAATTGTACAAAATGCATGATGAATTCCTTTCAGACTTCCAAATAGAGGGGTACTTGATACTGTATTCGGTCTTAAAATTCTGAGACCATTTCTTGGTCTTCTTTTGCTGATTTTCCGCCATTTGGATTCTGTGTCAATATTCACGCATTCAATGGCGATCCATATGCTGAAACAATCTTTCGCTACTCTAAATTTGTCGTTAAACATAGTGGAATTACTACATGCTAAAGTTTACAGACGATATTTCTCATTCAATTCACAGATTTATATACTGATAAGCGCACCCCCCAATAAAAAAATCATAATTATTATTATTTTTTTTAATTTTAATTTTTTTTTAAATCGGGAGGATAAGGATGGTGATCGTAAGGTCGGGAGTTGGGGTGAATTATCGGGAGCCTCCCGATAAAATCGGGAGGGTTGGCATCTCTGTGAATGTCACACACAATTCAAGCCTACAAGAGGCATCATGATTTATAATGCTGGGATAAATGTTGATTGTTACATCTGTTTAAATTTCATATGCCTAAGGGCAATACATTTTCATTGACAAAAACTAAAAATTACAAATCAGCAACAAGCACATTGACAAAATTAACCCTGCATGCAAGAAAATTGTGTTGAACCCTGTAAAATGGTTGATAGTGGATGCGGCAATGCATCTACATGTTGAAATAATCATGGAGCGCAAAACAGAAAACCCTGCTGACACTTCAGAAAGACCAGTGAATGAACTACTGGCTGTGCAAACAGCTCGATCTCAAGTACAACATGACACGTACTAATTTAATCTCCAGCTGCTGATCTATCACAGAGATAACACAGCTAGGTTTCAACAATGATTCATCAGCCCCATTGACATTGTGTTCTTTAATGACCTTTCCATATCATTCTAAAGATAATATTAATTTGATATGATATGAAGTGTATTGGTTTTGCAGTATCAAGGATACAATCACCCATAGTCCTACAGTATTGTCATTCTTCATGCGTGACACACTGAAAGTCTGTCATTGCATAGACAATGTTGAATTTTGACAGATTTAGATCTTATTTGTAATGCAACATTGTATCATTTAATACATACATGTATACATAATATGACTTAAATTAGTCATGTAGCTTCATAACTTCTTAATGTTAGTTGAGCAAATATTGATTAACAAAATTATAAATCTTTCTTTTTTGCACTGATTTTTCTCACATGTATCTGTTTACATTATAATTTTGTCCACACATATTATTTTATTTTCTCTGTATACTTTATAAAGGGGAAGTCCACCCTGAAATTAAGTTAGTTTTAATAGGAGTAGAAAAATGAGAGAAACAAGTCAGTGAAAGTTTGAGCAAATTCCGATTAAAAATAAGGAAGTTAGGATTTTTGAAGTTGTGATCAATCAAACACAAATTGGCAACTCTATGACGTATCATGCGAGCTCAACTTCCATTTGCTCAGTACTAAAAAAATCTAAAATTTTCATTTTCCCTCAAGAAAAATTTCAACCATACATGCACCCTAAATATAATAATTGCAAATATGTTTCTATACTCCCCCTGCAAGGAACAAATATATATTCCGTCATCAATAACGATGAAAACATGATTTTATGGAATATTATGCACAAAGCAAATGAAGGAGAGCTCGTATAATAAGTCACAGAGTTGCCAATTTGTATTTGATTGATCACAACTTCAATAATTCATAACTTTCTTATTTTCATTCAGAATTTGCTCAAACTTTCACTCACCTGATTTTCTTATTATTCTGCCTCTATCGAAACAAACTTATTTTGGGGGTGGACTTTCCCTTTAAAGTCCATTTGTCTCTCTCTGTGTCTTTCCACCCCCCACCCCTCGCTCTCTCTCTCTCTCTCTCTCTCTCTCTCTCTCACTCACTCATTCCTTGCTCTCTCCTCCTCACTCCCTCTTCCTCCCTCCCTCTTTCCATTCCTCCCTCCCTCCCTTTAATACTTGACCCTCAGTACATATATGTATCTCATACATATATTTTATATAGACTGTCCATCTATTTTAATACCTCTATGCTGATTATCATTGTATATTTTGCATGCATGTGTGTATATAACATGGAAGCTAGTATAAGGAGGAGGGAAGGAGGAGGGAAGGGGGAGGGAAGGGGAGGGGGGGGGGTAACAATAATTCAATTTTAATCTCACCATTTTTGTGATGGTTTCAAGGTCACCTTCCGATGCAGCATGTAGCAGAGTCTGCTGTGACTTCAGTTGTTGTGATTGTTCAGCACCTTATATCAAGAACAGAGAAACAATAAACGACCAAGGCATTTAGCATTTAGATACATGTACTATGCATTCTTCATACAGTCTTCATACTAACATGTATACATGTTCATCCTTCTTTGTCAAACATATCATTTCATTATGCATTTACATTACATATAGAAATGCCCATAGCTAGTTGAAAAAGCTGTAAATTATTGTAACTGATATAAATAATTAATATATACTGTAAGTAATTCAACGTTTTTTCCAGTAACATTCACAAAATTTATTTTATTTCATGTATCATTAGGGTTACAGTACATTAAGATTGCAATTGGGGTTTAAGTGAGGTTGAGGTTGAGGTCAGGATTAGGATTAGGCACAGCCTTGAATTCAGTTGATTAGGAAATTTACCACAGAGCAAACTTCTCAGGAGTGTCTGTTGTAGAAGCTAATAATAAGATAAATACATGTACATAACAATCGTTCAACGATGAATGACTCCACCCCCCGGCCCCCCCACTCAGAGGTTGGAATGACCGCATGCGTGTTGCCAAAATGTCCGGTAAAGGGGTATTTTTCATGCGACAAAGTCCGGCCCGAGAATTGTAAAAAAAGGGGTGTATTTGACTTTCCACCCTGAGATTTCTTTAAAAAGGGGGTGTTTTTCTTTTTTTTCTCTCATCTCTTTGGACTCCTGAGAAAATATTCCGAATTTAGGGGGGTACATTGAGCATTTTTCCTGATTTAGGGGGGTCTCCAAGGCAGGAAAAGCCTGTGAAAAGCCCGCTCAAGGGGGGTTTGGAAATGTTGGCAGTCCTCAGATAGGGGGTGCTTTCAAAAAGAGAGTAAGGAGCATATGCGTACCCTAAATAACACTGAGTGGGGGGGCCGGGCTCCACCCCTCATAAAGGATAACTAGGTTTTCTTCTCTGTCAATTTACCCACAATAATTAACTAAAATTGTTGTAATTTGAACATTTTTGTACGTTAATTCCTAAATCAATTTCCCTTCTTGTTTGTATTCTGGTAGCTTTTCAGTCAATGATTGTGTTTTCTCTTTAAACCTCCAAAACTTGTGCAACAATAAAATCTACAACTGTGATGATGCCAATGATACAATAGTGTTATCACTGTTTAATTCCAATTATCATCTAATCCAATCCAATCCAGGAATTTATAAAGCACCAATATCTAGTTGCCTTATCAAAGGCGCAGATGAGACTGAAAAACTACCAAAAATGTCAGTTCATGATTCTAACTGGGAAAGACAAAAAAGCAGTGACTAATTGTAAACAATCTGGAATATAGGTATGTCTTTAGTCCTGAAAGTGGATAATCATAATTATATTCAATATCTACACTATGACCACACACACTCCTTGACATACCTTCAAGCAATCTTTTGACCTCTGACCCAAGTGCTACTTCCTTGGGTGACATCCCTTCTCCATTGACAGCAAACACATCAGCACCACCCTCTATTAGAAGCTGTACAATATCCTGGAAAGAAGAGGGAAAAAATCCATCAGCTTTCAAATTTACACGTACAGTACATGTATAATCTCAAACATAGTTCAAAGGCATACATGTTTGACGCACTCCACCAAGGTGTGGTAAGTAGGTATCCAGTAGAAAGAAATTCTTTGAATGCTTAAGAGCCTTTCATGGTAGCTCTGCTAAAGCCGGGGTAATGATATGATTGCAGGGCCCTCAGGGAGAACAACTTACTGATGAGGCTAACCTGAGTAAACAAGACATATAATTATCATTATCATCATTACATTGTCAAATGATGCCAACATTGCGGTGTGCTCCTATGAGAATTGCCATTGCGTACGGGTAGTGAAAATGTAATACAGATATTGCTAAGTATGTGACCAACGTTTACCTTTTCTTCATAATAAGTTCCAAATTAATACTATTAAGTTATTTAATAAACACAAGACTACAGTATATCATTGTTATAACTTCCGAAGCCTGCATGTATAACTTCAAGCATTGCTTTCTCTTTAGGCTCCATCATATTTCTCCCTTTATTTAACTTAGTCTTATGTATTATTCTTTTCGTTTGTATAAATGCAACCAAAATAAATCAAAAAAAATTTAACATGCCACATGTAATGATGTATTATACAACATGTGAAATATGACAATAAACTGAAACTGAAACTGAAAGTGAAACATTTATATGCTAATAACCAAGCATGGGGAACTTCAGAAGAAAAAAATACCAAGGGCAGATTTTCTCTGACAATAAGCCAGTTTGTAAAGACTAGATATATCTGTGCATGGGCAGAAAAGGGAATTTGCATGAAATTGTAAAACCCATCGCGATGAATACTGGATATCATATGTGTTCATGAAAGTTATGTAATCATTCTTTACGCACAGATGGAACAGTTATGATATACAGGTGGAAGAAGCCATTTCAAGAGGACAAACGGAAGGTTTCATGAAGCACCTCCATCACTTTGGAAGCAATTATTCTAAAATGCACAAAGCAGAACTTCTCTATGTTTAAAAGATCTGTGGATATTTGGAGCCATTTGTAGGAAAGTAGTCCGGCACTACATCACATTGACATTACCGCTTCATCCAATTTGAAGTGCCCATACGTACATATATAATGATTACAACTTTCAAATATTCATAACTTTTTTATATTTCGTCAGATTTAATTGAAATTTTCATGAGATTGCTTCTCTGATTATTCTGCTTTCGTGCAGAGTAGTTGTCTATATGGGTTGGATTTCCCTTTAAAGGGATCCGGTAACTTTGTCTTTGATCCTTTAAAAAAATCCTTGATTTAGCTCATGCTGCAATGTTAATTATAAACCTTTAGGTCAGTCAGGAACCCCATGACTTTTACAAGCTGATCACCTGTCTGATTATCAAGATATTTATGATTGAAAAATGAAATCAAATTTTGCGTTTGCCATACGGTTTTCATAACACTACAGTCTACTGGGGAAAACGAGTTCCTATGGTAAAACCGGTCACTCAAAGGTTTTTACTTTTTTGATCATTTTGTAGGGCTTCAATATAACACCATATCACAGACACTGATAACATGTAGGGCCGTGCATCTCAGAATTAACATTGTTAAACGATCCCTTTAAAATGCTCAAGGGCTATAATGGCAGCCATGCTAAAGCCAGAGTAATACTAATGGAGCCCCAGGAGTGGCAATGTGAAAAACATGAGCGCTTTACAAGACTCCACTATCATCATTATAATGACTGTATGATCATCATCATCCAGCAGTACTGACCTCTCTCCCAATATAGGCAGCTTTGTGGAGAGGAGTGTCTCCCATGGGATTCATGGAGTTGATGTTAGCTCCATTACTCAGGAGAACCAAGGCAGCCTTATCATGACCAAAGTAGGAAGCAAGATGGAGTGGGTTCCAACCTCGGTTCGACTTTTGTTGACCTGAATATAGAATAAGAATGTGGTGGTGGTGGTTATTTTACCTGACTGCTAAGAAATCATAAATGCTTGTTAGTGAGCAACCAGACAACCTAGGTTTTAGGTCCTCTCGGAGGGATCTGGTATTGAGGAGTAATGCCTTACCAAAGGGCACTAGTGCATCGACTTGGTTTCAAACCCAGGTCACCGGATTACGAGAACACTGCTCTACCGACTGAGAAATCCAAGATGTACATTATGCATGTGAAAATGAACCCTTTAATCTATATTTCAAACAATAATACTTCCTATTTCTTCCACTAAACAGTCAAACAACTCATGACTTTGGTTTGAACTGATGTATCTAAGGAGTATCCTATAATATCTACCGGTATGTGTATATCTCTTGATTTTCGCACAGTAATTTCTATGCTTTGAAAACAAGGAACTTAGATATCTAAAAATAACCTTTGGATGCAATGGATACAACTTATACCACTTTCATTGCACTTTGTTACATACTTCATGTAGCTTCTCATTAATAATTGATAAAATCTAGATAATAATAATAATAATAATAATAATACTCGGCTTTTATATAGCGCTTATTAGAATCACCAAGCACTTCCAATGCAGTAAATATATGACTGCAAAATCTTTCCTTTTGTCAGAGGAACTCTTCCCTTTCTACACGTCCCTATCAATATTATTATGAATATATGCAAATTATTGGATTGGAATATATGTTAATTCCAAGAGATGATCAAGCTATAGTAATAAACCATGAATCAAAGGTAACAAATCACCCGGTTTTGTCCTGATTTTTGTATTGTATTAATTTAATTCTAAGTTGTTGTAGGGGATGATATAAATTAATTGCCCCAACCCAACAATTTGTTTACTCAATTCTTCCCTGCAGCTGCTGACTATTCCTTCTATTATCTATTCTTTTTCCTAAAAATTATGAAGTACAATCAGCAAGAGAAGAGACCTACAGGGGATTTTCACAGTCTCACCTTTGCAATTGACACTGAAAGTGCAGTTCTCTCCATACTGCTTGTATTTCTGGATCAGCTTGAGTACTCCTGATGCATCACCATGTCTAGCTGCAAGAAGAAGTAACTCTGTATCTTCTTTCTCTTCCTCAGGTTTAATCGCATCTCCTGAAACATTCTGGGAGTTTGTAGCTTGGTGAAGACCTTGATCATTATCATTTTCAAAATGCTCCACTTCTTTAGATATCACCTTCCTCACAGAGTTATCATCATCATCATCATCATCTACCCCTTTGTGTTCCTCTACTTCCCTGAATTCTACATCCTTCATCTTATCATCATCATCATCTCCTAACATTCCCCCTTTTGTTTCCAGTGTATCTCCATCATGGGCCTGGGTTACCCCAGCAATGACCCCTCCTGCTCCTTTCCCAACAGTCGGATAATGACTGGCAATACCAGCACTGCCTTCATCAAGTATTGTTTCATCGATACCGACCAGGGTCTTCTCTTGCTCTTCTTCCGCCCCTTCTCCACCATCCTCTTCACGGTCGCAGTCGAAAAATGCTACACTTCCAGGTAACCCTTCTACTTTCTCCAGATCTGCTTTCCTTAATGATGAAACCTGGCTCCTGCTGCTTGCGTGCGTTTGATCAGTTCCCTTCAACCTGACGTCTCCCTCGGTCTCGTCCTCCATCTCTTCATCCTGCTCACTCTCATCCTGGCAATCCTGGAACTCTGCTGAGGACTGTTCTGCCATAGTGTCGTAAGAGCTCCTGGAGCCTACTACTAACTACAGATGACAAAGAGTTAGCAAGACACAACGTATCTTGTAGTTAGGAGAACCTAAAAACACACTGCCAGTGCCAGGAGAGAAAAAAAACAATGAAATCACAAATCAATAAATAACTAGACTGGAAGTGGAATTGTTGCCACTGAAAAATAAGGTGATCTGCAGCAGATCTGTTTACAATTACATCATATCGAAAACATTAAAATTTAAATGTTGCAGAATTACAGTCATATGACATTCACTCATTTACAGTCATTTATTTCATTTTTTTAATCAAGGCTATACTAAACAAGCGGTTTGAGTTAAGTCGCGTTATGATGAGATATAAATGCATTCATAACTTAGCACCTTCTTACCTTCAGGTAGGCTTAATCAATCCTAATGATGTACATGAGCATCATACAAGGCAAATAGACAGTGGATGTTTACGTGTGCCTAGATTTCACACTGATTGTTATAAGTGTAGCCCAATTGTTTCTTCCATATTTGAATGGAATAAGCTAGATAATTGGTTGAGAACGGCTTCCTCTGTCAATTCATTTAAGAGATTGTTTAAACAAAGTTGTAATTTGTGAATGGCTCAGCCGAACATACACTACGTGCATGTTCTGTAATATTAACATGACTTATTCACATAATTGCGACTTAATCAATATTTTCCTATTGACATTACTGTTTACTAGGTTAATGATATATGTTTATTTTGCAAATGAGTATTATTTTTAAGACTGTTTTGTATAAACGTTATTAACGATGTAAATATGTTCATGTTTATTCAGGGCCCCATGGAAGACCACTACTTGTTGGTGAATGGGCTACCCTGTCAAAAGATTAGAAATAAATGAATAAATAAAAACATCACTAATTAATTGTAACAACATCTAGACTATACTTTTCCATCTAATTTTAGGTGAAAATGAAACGTTAGTACATCACATCGGCATATGAATTATAATACACACACAAACATAGTCGTAGTCTACTCATAGAAAGGATGATTGTGAGTTACTAATAATTGGTTTTTCAGGTAAAAAATTTGTATAAAATGAAAGGGCTCTCTCTCAGAGCAGAGTAGATGAAATTATGAAAATGCCTATCAATAACATGACAATACTAGCACAAGGTGTCTAGTTATTTATAATAATATGTTATTCTCATAATTCCAAAGAACTAACAGAGATAGAGAGAGAGGAAGAGTCCCCATGTACACTCCATCGTCACGTCATCACTAGATGGACGTAAAAACATCCACTCATCGCCTGCGCCTCGTTTCCCGGCCCGGCCTTGGGGTAGGCTGCGGGCGGGGCGGAGGTCCACGAACCTCGCGCTCGCGGGGCGATACTTACCGGCGGAAAGCTAGAAGCTCAGCACTGCTGAAAAGATCGCATGAAATGTTGTTAACTCACTACATCCGTATAGTAGATTGAGATTCCACATAGCAAATCACAAGCGTGACTTCAATATTACCTTCACTAAATTGCAATTTTCTCCTCATTCAAAATTGTGATCAGTGCGTACAGTATATATGTACGAGGAGGTTTTTCTGCTGCAGATAAAGACTGCAATTGTTTATTTAGGATCAAACAGCGGTACGGTCACATGTTAATTCCGTATCACGTGACATTCCGGAAATTGCACAGCGCAAAGGAAAAGAAAGTATAATTTGTGTGGGTCCATGAACGTCGTTTCCTAAGTTTTGATATGAGTCTAATGTGACTTTTTATATGGGCCTAGCGATTCAAAAGTGCCGATTTGGTTCTTTTGATGATGTCAAATTAGGGCCTATTATTTTCAAATTTTAAACTGAAATAGGAATAGGTCTAGGCCTATATATTCCCAATAAAAATAAAATTGTTGCGATGATTAATAATACAGTAAAATGTTATTATAATATATAATGTAGCCCTTTGACCATATTTTTTTTTATCATACACCTTCCTGAGATTCGTAAATTCGTATTTTTAAGAGATAAAGAGATAAAGAGAGAGAGAGAGAAAGAGAGAGAGAGAGAGAGAGAGAGAGAAAGAGAAAGAGAGAGAAAGAAAGAGAGAGAGAGAAAGAGAGAGAGAGAGAGAGAGAAAGAGAGAAAGAAAGAAAGAAAGAGAGATAGAGAGAGAAAGACAGAGAAAGGGAGAGAAAGAAAGAAAGAGAGAGAGAGAGAAAGAGAGAGAAAGAGAGAGAAAGAAAGAAAGAGAGATAGAGAGAGAAAGAGAGAGAGAGAGGAGAGAGAGAGAGAGAGAGAGAGAGAGAGAGAGAGAGGAGAGGAGGAGGAGGGGGGGGGGGGGGGGGGGGAATAATCAATGCATTTTACAGACCCTATTCATAATCGAAGAAGAGGTTTGCTGTTCATAACCTGAGAAGACCTGTGCATGTCCCCCCCCCCCCCCCTTTGATTGTTTACAAGGGCACACGAAGGTAAAGGCATGTTCTAGGGCAGATTTTGCCCCCAACAACAGATTAATCGATAAGGGACCAAATAAAACAAATTGGGAGGGGGGGGGGGCGGGTATATTGAAAAGGAGGAGAACTAACAAGACATAACCTCTAAGGTTACCCAAGAAGTGGCTAGTAACTTCTTGGGTTACCCAATGAAAATATTAGAGTTTTAAAGGATAAATTTTGTGGTAAAAAAATCTAACATTAGGGCTTAATCCTTTTTGTTATAGTCCTTCATTTCATCTTACATTTTAGGTTTTCGAAATTTGCTAAGTGTCTGGTAATACATCTTATAGAGGTTAACTTTTTTGTTATTTTCTTGGACTTGGGATAGGATTATTATCAGAAGAAAATGGGGGTCTGTACTTTCATCAAGCAGCCTCTACTTGATTAGCATGATTAGGAATGTAACATGACCGGGTGGTGGGAGGAGGTGGGGGGGGGGGGGGGGGTCTGCTCACTATTTGCAAGGACCACTATTCATAATTTGATAAAAGGGTCATTATTAATATACAGGTCATTATTCAAAGGACCGCTATTCATAATCGAAGAAGAGGTTTGCTGTTCATAACCTGAGAAGAGGGTTGCTATTCATGGTACAAAATCGGGATCGTTATTCATAGGTGTCCCTATTCATGATACGAAAAGAGAGTCGCTATTCATAATATGAGAAGAGGGTCGCTCTTGTATGAACAGGGAAAAGCAGCCCTCTTCTCGTATTGTAAATAGCGACCCTCATTTCGTATTATGAAAAGTGTTTCTCATGAATAACGGTCTTTATACCTTTATGAATAGTGACTCCCTTCCGTTTTATGAGTAGCGGTCCTTCACGTAAGGGAAGTTCCAAGTTATGAATAGCGGTCCGTACGACTGGCGAGGTTACCCGGGGGGGGGGGGGGGAGGGCTCGATGTAATTACTTGCAAGGACAATCACACCCCGACCAATTACCAGCGGGACCCCCCGAGGACAACCATCCCCCAAGGACAATTACCCCACCCCACCTGAATTTTAGTCTGCTTTTATTTTTTTCAGGTTGGACTTCGTCTTTAAAATGAACAGGGGTGGGGGTCGTATTTGTCCTGGGGGGTAATTGTCGTCAGGGGGGGGGGGCGTGATTGTCCTCGGGGGGGGGGGGGGTGATTGTCCTTTAGGTTGTTTTTTCGGGGGGGGGGTCGACATGGAGCAGGTGGTAATGTTCTGATACGACCATAGAGATATATATTAGTAGCTCTATATGGATACGACTTACTACTAATGCTAGCAGTTCTTCTCCGCCGACTTGTAGGAGACTAATTTTGGCGTCTCAGCTGAAATCCGCCGAACAAATCGGAATTTTTAGGATTTCGTAGTGATTTGTGGAATGAGGACTTGAAATTTAGTCTTGATTTATCCGATCTACATGATTATGGCCAAGAAAGATACCGAATGTGATGTTTGTTCAGGTAAACTATGATTAAGGGCTGCATGTATGTATGTGATTCTTGACCTCAGGCCCGTATGTTAAGATTTGTGTTGGTGTATATTTCACTATTTAATATTTGAGGAGAATGCATGTGAGTTGGTCTATATTACTAGTGTCTATTATTAATGAGGTCATTTTTAACACACACAAGTAGAGGAGTATGAGTAGTAGAATAAGAAGAAGAGGAGAAGAAGAAGAGAAGAAGAAGAAGAAGAAGAAGAAGAAGAAGAAGAAGAGGAAGAAGAAGAAGAAGAAGAAGAAGAAGAAGAAGAAGAAGAAGAAGAAGAAGAAGAAATGTAATGATAATTAAAAATAACAACGACAACAACACCAACAAACATGTACAATACAATAGTAATATGCCTTCTCCATCGATCCAGGGTATAGCCTCATCGGTATTAAGACTCTTCTTCTGGCTCAATTACTTCAAGTCATCTGGTCATCGGGTCAGGTCGGGTACAGACGGGTAGTCCCAACCTTTTGTGAAAACATGCCCTTTATTAATGAAACGTTGGGGCTAATGTTTGTGAAATAAAGTCCTCTCATCCACAAATAGTCTGGTCCACTTTACCTGACACCTGGCAAATCTATGAAAGGTTACGTCATCTTCCACTTCCGTTTCATGAAAGGATGTGTAACGCGCCGACCACCCGACCTGATGCGATGACCTGATGATTCAAAGTAAGCCCTTCTCCCTGACGCCAGGCCTTGCAATCATATTATTTCTCTTTCCTCTTGCCCCTTCTTTATGTCAGGTGGTCGGAGTGAAACAATTGCTGCGATAGCTGTAGGTATTATGTGTCTTCTCTTTGGAGTTCCCTTGTGGTGGAAGACAACAACTACATACAGGGCAGCTCTTCCCTACAATGATATTGAACAGATCTTTCAACAAGAGGTAACATTAATTGACTTTGCTCTATATTATGGAGAATGGGTTCAGACTAGAGAAGATTTTGGTGGGTGGGTGTTAGGAGTGGGTAATATGGACTGATTGATCAGTCTGGTTTTATATCTTTTCTTGCCTGAAGTATATTGATTTTCATCTTGATGCTGATTAGCACTATCTTCCTTCTGCTGATAATAATTTGGAAACACTTCATGAAATGATTTTAGAGAGAGAGAGAGAGAGCATAACCAATATTTGATGAATATGGATCAGAATTTAGAAATTTAATAAATGTGGGTATTCTTGTCGAATTTGGGCAAGAGATACATATACACGAGCTGTTTTGTTTGTCCAAAATGCAAGCCTGCTTGCTCTTAGTAAACACATGGTTATAGTTTTTAGTAATGATACTATGATAAGTTGGTTCATATCATCATCATCCTCATCATCATCTTCGTCATCATCACCACCACCACCATCATTATTATCTGTTATCATTCAATACTAGCTTCCTCATCAACACCTTTATCCTTGTCCTCTTCCTCATCATTATCATCATCATCATCTACCACCATCTCTCTTAAGCATCATCATTACCATCTTTATAATAATCATCGTCACCATCGTCCTCATCATCCATATCATTGTCATCATTTCATTATGAAAATCATCATTATCATCATACCTGTCATTGTCTTTATCAGGATATCATTTTCAAGATTCCTGACATTCATAGGAATTTCATTTCCATCTTTAACACCATTAGCTATCATTACTTTTAAATATACCTATTATTTCAGAATCTTTCTTACTTTTGCAAAATTGTTTTGTTGTTATCAGGTACAATAAAACAGGTAAAGTTAAAAAAAAAAAGAAGCAAGGCAATGTACATGTCATGTGATTCTATGCCTGTTGAATGAAGTATTCTGATACGATGATGTTTTGATGGTGTAACTACTTCAAATCAATGATGAGGAGAATGAAAGATGTTAATTGGAATGAATCCTATACTGGTATACATAATTTACATGCAACATGTTTGTTCAATTCTATGAAGGCTCCAACTTTAATCTTTCAGACCACATGCAGGATTCCTGTAACATTGGTATCATGCAGTCAAGAGCCGGAAAATGGCTCACCGGTAAAAACAACTAGAAAGGTTTCTACAATCAGGTAGGTTGGGTACGCTCAAAAGAATAGTGTTATTTTTTGTTTGTTAGATGTCATCAAATCATGTACTGACCCGGACAATTCACCCCTTAACAGTATTACCTCTCCCCCTCATCCCCCTCACCCCTCCATAAAATGTTACCCCAAACTAATAATGCGTTGGCAAACAGTACCAAATATTTGGATCAGTTAATTCTCTAACATACATGTAATAGAGCAAATATTGTAAAAAGAGGTTGATACATAATAGAATTTAAAGCTTTCAAGATCAAAATATTCTCTACGCTGTACATGAATGTATTTATTCTATACATTGATGAAATTGACTACTTTCTGATAATCTGATTATCAACTTTTTCATAACAATAGGGCAAGATGGGAGGTCATCACTAAGTATGCAATACTCCATGTATTTCAGGAATTGCTTGACAGCAGAGAAGAGACTTATGGAGGAATCATCCTCATTGCAGGTAAAAGGGAGAGAACAGAATTGGGGCAGGACAATCATTAACTACACTATAATTTTTAAGCCTTCTTTTTCATCATTGTCACAATAGAATTATTATGTGAGGTACCGCACTAACTCACTACTCGTGCTAATTTTCAAAATGATGTTTATCCTAGAAGGTTATATTCGTTTGTGCAGGTATTATCAAAGCTATATGATGATGATGACAATGACAATGATGATAGGTTTTAATAATCATGATGCCAATGATGATGATGAGAGATGATGATGATAACAACAATCACTGTGATGTTAATGGTGTTCAAACAAATGTTAAGCTTTACACTGAAGTTCATTTCTATGTTGTACTGAGAGGTGTGTTGCATAGATTGCTTTAAATTTGCTATATATCTTGCACCTTTTTTCCAATGTATCTTGACAGAGTTTGATGGAAAACTGTCTAGATTACGTCAGAACCCGGTGGGGGAGATTACAGTCTACATATTTGACAATTTTTCTGTTTTCTTCCCTGATGTGAAGATAGATGTTCATGTTGGACAACATAGAGCTATTTATGTTAAAGGTAAGTACACAAATTTCCAAGTCTTTTCTAAAATGGATTGCAGTCTGTTGATGTAGTGTGGGTTGCTCCGATTACATATGATTGTTAGTCGGCCAACACGTCCTCCTCCAATTTGAATGATTTGGGATTATTATAATTTCAATTTTTTGTTGTTGGTTAAAGTATTAGATGAAAGTTCCGCATATTATAATATCACAAATAATTTTTACATTACTGATGAATCATAATCATGAATCATCTAGATTTCAGTCAAACAAGTGTCTTTTATTGGTTTTTTTTGCTGATTTTGCAGGTTCAGGTCCAAAACTTGAAGCTTCTTTAGAATCTGCTGCAGCATTGATCAAGACTGTGATTGTGCCAGAAGCCAGTCTGGACAAGCATTACAAGACTGCAAGAGGTGTCGTACACACAGTGGTAAGTATGCAAGAGCAAGAAGATGATAAACATAGTTATGCAATATCTTGTGCTTTAAATAGACCAGTTCACGGTTAGCACATGTCCCAAATGACCCCGATTATCCACAGATCTTCAAACGTGAAGAGACCCCACTATGTACATTTTGAAATAATCACTCCTGCAGCGATGGAGGTGCTACATGAATATAGCCTTTGTTTCCCCTTTTCAAATACTTTCACCTGTGTATCATGGAGTGCACTTCTGTGCATAAATGAATAATGATTACATAACTTTCATGAGCTCATATCCAATATTTTCTCTCTGTGTATTTCACAATTTGGTCTGCAATGAGCTTTATCTGCTCATGCTCAGATTGCAACCGTGAACTGGCTTATTGTAGAATGGATAGAAGTGAACGTTCCTGAAAGAGCTGGCACAAAGAGACGTATATATTCTCTATTTACACCGTTTCCTTCTTTACATCTCAGAATTAAAAAAAAAAAAATTATTAAAGAATTTTCAAAGTTAATCTTTTCATCTATCTACTGCAGTTCTTCAAATTATTCAGCCGTAAATAGCGGCTATTCTACAAGCATATTAGATTCCCTTGCCAAATCATCTCTTTGTTAAATTATATACAAGTCCACTGTAAGGGGTGTAAACATTGAGAAGAAAAAAATCTTCACATGTACCTTTGTAAACGGGGAATCTCCACAGTGAGATTTATGGTGCATTGACACTGCAGTCGAATCGGTTTTGCCACCAAGAGGAACACAGCGATTGCAATCTCATGCACATTGTTTTTTTTAAGACATATTTTTCTCTCATAGATGTGACTGTATTATTATATGCTTTTCAAAAATTTATTAAGGCTGATCTAGAGAGCATGCGTTCTTTCCGTTACACTCCTGGCTACGAGCTCTCGTTCACCTTGCTCATCCCAGAACCTCACAATATTCAGGCTCACTGGAATCTGGATCACGCACAAAAAGGTACATACAGTTAAAGGTATAGACCAGTTCTGGTCATGCGATTGCATCGTGAAAGAAATGTTGTGAAATCAATCAGAAAAGGAGTGAACACTCCTTTTTTTTTTTTTTTGGGGGGGGGGGGGGTGTGGTCATAGATAAAACACAGTAAAGGGTGTCTTTAAAATCTAAAACACCCCCTGTTTGCCAGGGGGGGGGGGGGGAGGAGGGTACGCTAATGAAATGGGTATACTACCATTATGACCTTGATTTGGCTAAATAATTTAAATAATATCATTCAGATTTATCAAATTACAAATTTTATTTTCATTGATAGCTACTTCAATAATACATTTTGCAATCGGGATGCATCTCTTTGTGTCACAACATGCCCTTAATATTATTATAATTAATATTATTATTATTATCATTGTTATCATTATTATTACTGGTATTGGTAGTTGTAGTAGTAGAGGTAGTATTAACAATAATAATGTTTACCTCAAATGCAAAGAATTTCCCTCATTTAAATGCAGTTTATTTGGATCCATTGACAAGGAAGCTGGAAGAGTTTGCAGAGTTCACTGTGGCTTCCCAGGTCCTGTACTACACTAGTCTCTCAGTCAAGCCCAAGAAGAAAGATTCCTCATTCTACTTTTCTCATAGCTCACTGCCTCATATCATTACACCGGTTTGAAGCTAAGCTGGGTGAGTAATGATGTTAGAGAGAGAGGGAGATAGAGGAGGGAGAGAGAGAGAGAGAGAGAGAGAGAGAGAGAGAGAGGATGGAGAGGAAATAGGGGGGGGGGGAGGGTGATGTATGAATATATCAGTCTCTTGGTGGAATCCAAGAAGAGGATTCTTCATTCTACTTTCCTCCCAGCTCATGGTCACATATCATTACACCAGTGGAGGCTAAGCTGGGTGAGTGATGATGCTGGAGAGAGAGAGAGAAGGGAGATAGAGACAGAGAGATAGAGACAGAGAAAGGGAGAGAGAGAGAGAGAGAGAGAGAGAGAAAAGAAAGGGAGAGGAAATTGGGGGGGGGGGGGGGGGGGAGGGGGGGGGGGGAGGGTTGGGGAGGGTGATGTATGAATACTATATCAGTCTCTTGGTCGACCCAAGAAGAGAGATTCTTCATTCTACTTTGCTCCCAGCTCATTGCCACATATCATTACATTAGTTGAAGCTGGGTTGGGTGAGTGATGATGCTTAAGAGATAGTGAGAGTGAGAGAGAGAGAGAGAGAGATAGAAGGAGAGAGAGGGAGAGAAAGAGAGAGAGAGATAGAGAAAGGGAGAGAGCTAGAGAGAGAGAAAGAGGGAGAGAGGAAGGGAGAGAGAGAAAAGAGAGAGACGATGATGTGGAGGTGTCATGGTATAGTGGCTCGTTCACTTGACACTCAAATCCAAGGGTTGAGGTTTGGGCACTAGCATCCTTTGGCAAGACTTGCCAATCTACTTTTCCAATCTACAACCAGGTACTTAGCACTTACTTACTTGTTTGGGTAATAACAATTTTTAGGGCCCACAAGAAGAAAATTATTGATAGTGATGAGGCTCCCTTGGTAACAACTTAATAATATTATATTATTGTAGAGACAGAAAGCCACCCCCCCCTAAAAAAGAGAGAATTATATTTAAAATGTCAAAATATAGAGACCAGGTACAAAAAAAAATCATGTATTCCAAATTCAAGGAGAAGAGAGAGAGAGAGAGCCAAATACTGTAAGATAGACATTATTTTAAAGGAATGTTAAATTTCTTATTTGAAAAATTAAGGACTAAGAAGTCTTATGTTTCAAAATATACTTATCACTGCATTTGTGTTTCTCAGCTGTGTTCCTCTTTTTTTTCCTTCTGTATTTACAATGTGAATGGATTGAGAGACAGCTTCCAGATATTCACATTGACAATTCACACATACATTGTTTTCCTTACGTGCAGTGCATTCAGCTGTAATCTTCACTGTTCTATTTCTCTGATTGGTTAATAACTTTTGTATGTCTGCATTCCATTCTGCTGTTGATTCTTATCCTTAGGGTCACACGCCACCAACTTTCCCAATCTCAACTTTGTGGTCTACATTCCCCCATTGGATCAGTCTCCTCTGTATATTCACTCCAGTAACGGTAAGAGACTAACATTTTCTGTTTTTCGGGTTGTCTGTCTGTCCGTCCGTCCGTCTGTGTATTTTATGTGCGTAATGGTATGCCAGAATAAACTGATTGATATTTAGGTGTAAGAGCTTGAGGTCAAAGGTCACAGGGTCATAATAGGGTTTAAAAATTCCAGAAAGTATCTTGTTTTCATGATAACTTGAAAAGCAATGAAACAATTCAGAGTTTTTTCAGACAAAACATGGAGGAAGTATTCAATGATGAACTGATTAGATTTGCTAATAGTAATATGTATGAAATTTGATTTCAGATGGAAACTATTCCAAAATTTGTCTATTCACATAGTCAATAGATATACAGGTAAATGTAATTCATGAAGTTCTCAGAACTGCTCCATTGTTTGCAGGTTTTACTGTTTGTGGTGTTAACCTAAACTTCACGCTTACATTTGCCTCATTTCAACAGCCTTTCAGTACAGCTCGCTCATATAGGATGCCGTAACTGCAACATTTCTTTCTTTCCTGTTTTGATGTACAGTGTAAAATACTTCACACTTCTGTATCTTTAATATAACACAGAGTTGATAGTGAATTTGTCTACTACCTTTGTTGCACACAGTTGCCAATCATATGATACATTGCAAACAAAACCAAAAATGTTGTGATGTACTACTTCGTATCTGAACGAGCGTAATGTTACCACATGGTGTTAATAAATGCCTTCCATTGTAAATTACCGGTATTTCATTTTATTTGAACCCTCCTCTTTCCTTTTTTTTTTATAGGCAAGCCAGTAAGCACCAATGCATTTCTGAGTCCAAGATGGGGCGGAGTCTTGATCCACAACACACCGATCCCGGATGAGAATGCTACCAGGCCGGTATGGGTGGAGGTGAAGAACAGTGCAGTGATGCCGGTCTTCTTAGCTCAGTTAAGATTACTCCTTGGGATTCCGTCTCCAGACGATGTGAGTAGCAAACTTATCACTTCAGTCAGTTCACTGTACTAGTGGGCATATGTACTTACATTTTTAAATTCTTCCCATTCACGATCAGCTGTAGATTCTTGTAGGTTGTAAGTCACAAAATTATTCTTCCTTCTATCTCTTACAATGATTTCCTCCATGACAGTCACACTATCATGCACACTTTGGGGCATGACCTTTGCTTTAGCAGAAACATTGTTGTTCCTGGTTATGTTTTGTGCTGGATCTGTAGCGCTATCATCTGAGGCAGGAATACTTGACGTCGCCTGAGCATATGACTTTCCTGCATAAACAGAACCTGCAGCTTTCTGCATGCACTTCAGTTCATTCTTCACCTCACTGATCTCCTTTCTGACATCAATTATCATTTTCTCCACCAAACCAGTTTAAGGTTGTGGGATGTCTCCACTTGCACAAAGACTCGCTTCCTTGGCAGCATCAATGGCTCCATGTTTACATCGCTTACAAAACCAATGTAAATTGGGGGTATTAGACAGTACATTGAACACCTCAACACTAACATCTTGGCAGTGCAGGCATGCCCACTTCATACATGCTTCACATTCGATCATTAGATCCATAGCTTCTTACTTACAGTACTCACATGTAAATTTCTCTTAATTTGCTGTATTAAAGTATCTGGTCCTCTAGTACTCTCCTTTTATAGGGCCTTACTCTCCATACTGTCCTTTTTTGGCCTTGAGGGCCTCCTGCCACTCCTGCTCTAATTCTCATCTGTTTTCTCAAGTGAGCGTTTGGTTTTAGCTGTAGAAGTTGATGAAGAAGAAGATCGACTTTGCGTTGCTGGAGCTGCGGTCAAAGGATTTGATTGATCTGAAGATCGCATATTTCCATTTTCAAATTTTGTTTTGAACGGAATTAAGTTTGTTTAAGTCTTCTGTAAATTTTCCATGGTGGAGAAATCTTGATTTGTTGCTTTTGATCCTCCATAATGTTGAGAAAAAGAATTCAAATGGCAATCCTGAGAGGAGCATAAACAGTGGTGCAGTATCAGCAAAAACAGAGGTGAGAAGCTCACGATGTATACTAGCTCCAACGGAAATAGGAGGTGTATGACATCAAAAAGTAGGACCAGCAAAAAGCATCGGATAAACGCTAAAATCACCAAGCGCTCGAGCAGTAACAATAGAGAAAAACATGCTTCCACACACACAAATACGCTCAAGATTGTGAAAGTAGACACTTAGCAAAGAAATATCCACTACAAAACAAGCTGAAAAAGTTTTGATTCCAGTGATTTAGGGGGATTTTGAGGAGACACAACAAAATATGTCCGACATCCACGCATGCACAATATGATCTAATGCAAAAACCCATCATGAGATAAAACAAGGTGTTGGAATCTAGTGGTTTAAACACTTGACAGGATATGCAAAGGTTGCGGGTTCAATCCCTGGCATGGCCTTCATTTCCTTGAGTAGAGGCATTCATCTCTATTGCTTCTCTCTAGCCATGCAAATGGTAAACGGGTACCAGTTATGATTCAAAAGTCATAATAGTTTGCTCTGCATTGTGAGCATCTTTAAAATAGCACCTTGCTGGAATGCACCCCTGTGAGTGGAGAATGTGCATACATTATTTGTGGGCAAGTCTGAATCTGATGACGGGGCTAATAACATTTCTGTAAACACTTGGAGACATCGTAGATGTATGCAGCACTATAAATATGTCTAACCATAATATTTGTGTTATTATGATTATTATAAGTATAATATATTACTATCAGTGGCGTAGACAGGTTCGTACACCTGGGGGGGATGACTCAGGGGCGGATCTAGCTTTTTGCTAAGGGGGGGTTGACCAAAATAATGACGATGCGGAGCATCGTCCACGAGCCGCGAAGCGGCGAACCGATTTTTTTTTGGGTGTTTATTTGAACCCCGTAAGTGATGTTTTTCCTGGCATCTATTAACACAATGGAGACCATAAAAAGCAGTGCATGATAACATCTTTTTAAATCAAGTAACAGTTAAATACACAGTTATATCCAGAGTTATCATGTGTTTTGGTTAAGTTACCAGATGAGTTGAATATCTTTTCACAATATTTGCACTTGAAAGGGTTTCTCTCCAGCGTGCGTTCTTTTTTCTTTCTTTTTTTCTTTTTCTTTTTCTTTTTCTTTTCCTTTTTTTTGTTTTTTTTGTTTTTTTGGGCCGCCCAGGGGGGGGGGGGGGTTTTTAAACCCCCTGACCCCCCCCCCCCCCCCCCCCCCCGTAGATTCGCGCCTGTTTAATCTTGTGGTTATCTTGTGGTTTCCAAACCACAAGATAACCACAAAATACTTGTAAGATTTTCTTTTTTTACCGTCTGAATTGGCTTTCACCGTGTGAATGCGGCCAATAACAATAAACACAATTACAATAATGATGAGGATTATTATTATCATCATCATAATTATTATTATTATTATTATTATAATTGTTATCATTATTATTATTACTATTATTATCATCATTATGACTTATTAAGTAAGCAAATATCATTCCCCAAAACCTGGGGGGGGGGGATGATTGTACATGCCATCCCCCCCACCTTGTGAGGTGGGGGGGGGGATGCATCCCCCTCATCCCCCCGTTGTCTACGCCCCTGATTACTATTATGACCATTACTAAGAAAGAAACAAAAAGACATCAAGAATAGTTAAAAAAGAAAAATTTTCTTCACAGTTCACATTCTTTTATCTTTTATCCATTTTTACCTTATCTGTATTTATCTGACAGATTGAGTCCGTTTTGTTGGAGAAACCCAAGGAGCATTCTGTCTTGGATTGGGTAAGTAATAAAGCCAAATATAAAAAGTTCTTTTGTGTGTGTGTGTGTGTGTGTACTAAAATCATCAACACTGATTATGATTGTTTTATTTTAGATAATGTAATGAAGGAATTGATGTTTTTGTAGAATGGGCAATAGCTAGTAATATTCAGAGATAGTTCAATGAAATAGTATTGTACCTTAACCAAAAAAGATAGAAAAAGAAAGAAGAAGAATTAATGTAAAATTAAGTATATTCAATTGTATTATTCTCACCTGCCTTGCTTTGATATGCTTTGCCCGCATCATCTTTCTTCTAAAGTATATGTGTGATTTTTCCTTCTTCCTTCTTCCCCTTGTCGTTTTGTGGTTATTTGTTATGTAATATTGTCTTGTGTTTTCCAAGTCTTCGTAGGCACAATTTGAAACAATTTTGTTTTTTTCTGGGGGATCCACAAACTACAAGCACTGCTTTTTAGTGGATCCCCCCCCCCCCCATTCCTCAGAAAGTAAGAAATTCTTGTAATAATTGTTTTATGTGCAAAGTGTATTTGTATAGTTACCAAGATAAAATGAATTATTTATGAAAAAAATGTAATACCTTTGTTTATCTTTCTGTTGGAAATGAAATAAATATGAATTGAATTGAAATCAATATTTTTTTTCATGTAAAGAGGGCCGGGGCTGGGGGAATCAATTTTCACTTCCCAGTATCTCTTGTTTGGATAAGTGATATGTTGTAAGATGCGATGAACCTGGTTCAGTGAATACTTACCTTACACTTTTTGTGTGTCTGTATCCAGGAATATGACAGTCTACTGAGAAGGCACTGTGTTGAAAACCTAGCCTCTGCTTCAGCTTCCCTCTTTTCTCTCTCTCAACTTCTGGAGAAATAAGCAACATTGTTATCAACGATGACATCGCAAAACAAGTAGGTCTCCTTTGTTTCAGGTTATTTCATTCAGTTTTTTAATTTACATGTCAAATTATTTCATGATTGTAATACAAGTCAGAATACAAGGTAAATTTGTACTTTAATCATTGAGTTCAGCCATTCAATTTGTAAATCAAACATGCCAGGGTAAGATATGTTAAAGGCATCGTTTAACAATGTTAAATCTTGAGATTACGTGTTATCAGTGTCTGTGATATGGTGTAATATTCAAGCTCTAAACAAAAATTCGCTTCAAAATGATCATGAAGTGCCTCAACCGGTTTTACCATACTATTTTTCCCCAATAGACTGTTAGGAAAACAAATTTTTTAAGTTCCATTTCCAATCATAAATATCTTGAAAATTAGACAGACGATCAGCTTTTATAAGCCATGGGGTTCCTGACTGACCTAAAGGTTTAAATTATCATTGCTGCATGAGCTAAATCTAGGATTTTGTTTCAGAATCTGAGACAAAGTTACCCAATCCCTTTAAGTCCCTGACATATTTACAAATGTACACGCAAAGTCTCCTGATTCTGAGACTGCTGTTCTAACTCGTGAGTTCCAGTAAATTCCAATAATCTCATTTGTTGTAGGTATACACAGCAGTTGAGAGTATACAAAGCAGTCATCGCTTCTTGGCCGAGGGTAAACTCCACCCTGCCTTCCATGCCTCAAAGAGGGCGCTGATCGCTTCGGAAAAAGCCTTCTTTGATCCGTCTCTTCTTCAGCTTCTTTACTTTCCTGATGATCAAAAGTAAGTTCATATGTCTTTTTCCGAAGGTATTTTCCGAAGGTATTTCGAAGTTAGTCCATGCCTTGGACTAACTTCGAAATACCTTCGGAAAAAGACATAACCATGTATTATTGAAATGTATTATGGAATTATAAACATACACTGAACATTGACATAAAAATATCATTTTATTATTTAGTGTCTGATCGATATTAATGGGATAGTTGAGTTCTGTTTTCAGACCGCACTGTGGGCCGGCTGGTTGTGCATACTATAACCAACACGAAAAGCCAACATCGGCATTGGCTGAAATACTATTTTGTTTTTTTCAACAGCTTTTTCAATTATTGATTATTTTGTGGTGGTACACAAATATTATAAATCGTTATATTTATGGATATTTCAGCCGTCTCTGAACCGATTTTGATCAACAAAGATGAATTTGTCTTTAAATTGTATGTTCTTTGAAATTTGACACTCAGTTTTTCATTATCTCACAAAAAAATATTTTGTGTAGCACCCTCTGCAACAGAACTCAACTATCCCTTTAAGACTTGCTAAAATTTATTTGACATAGTAAGCCAATTAGGGAGAATTCTAAGTACTGTTCATTCAAACTTAAGGGTCTCTGGCTTTCTGTTCAATTTTGTTATTTTTAAACATTTCACATTTGCAACCTGCAAACTATAATAACATTTGGAATAATCCTTCTTTTCCCCTCTCACTCTCGTGTGTTTTTTGTTCCTGCTTTCTCCCCACCCCTCTCCCCTTCCCCGGCTCACTCCCCCTGCCCACTCCACCTGCCCACTCCAACTGTCCTGCTCTCTCTCTCATCCCCTCTCTCTCTCTCTTACTCTCACTCACTCTTCCTTACTCCTCCCTTTCTTGATTTCTCTCTCTTCCTCTCTTTCCCCCGTTCTTCCTCTCCCCACCTCTCCTCTCTTTCTTTCTTTCTTTCCTTCCCCTCTCCCCCTTTCTACCCTTCCTTGTCTCCTTTTCTCTCCCTCCGTCATATCCCCCCTTCTCTCTCTTTCTTTCTCTCTTTTTCTCCCCCTCGCTCTTTCACAGATTTGCAATTTACATCCCTCTGTTCTTGCCTGTCAGTATACCAGTGGTCCTGTCTCTCATAAAGGCCTTTAAATGGATTAAACAGCAAAGAGAAAAAGCAAGGTCGATTGAAGAAAAGACGAGGACATGTTTGCAATCTCATTTAATTCTTTGTGCAACACAACTAACAATATGAATTGTGTATATATTGTTTATAGTATTGTACATGTATGTAATAAGATCAAGATGAGTTCAATATAAGTAGTTTTGTGGACAAAATGATTGACATAAGACCTGCAAGAGATTAGGTCAAGGACAATGATACCCGACAATGATTATCTACAGAAATCATGTTATATAATAATAATAATCTTTTAAAGTCCACTCAAAATTTTATTTAACCGAAAGAATTCTTTTTGCCCAATTGATTGTGAGCCCGGCAGCCACTGAGTAGCGCCAGATCGACGTTGCTCTATCCCTTTAATGTTGAACGCCAAACAAGGTAGCAGCAACTCTCGTCTTTTAATGTATTTTGGTATGACGCGGCCGGGGTTCGACCTCCCGGTCGTGAGCCAACACACCAGTCTAGTGTTCTCACGTTCCAAGAGGTGATGCCCAAGGTTATTAGAATTACCCTACATGTTGGTGGATATTTTGAAAGTATTTGCATTGTGTTATTAGAGATGGCAAGAAGTGATGGCAGATGATGGGAACACAACATGACTTCTTTATTGTAATTTTTTTTCCTCAATACTCACTGTCCAAAATACCCTGTGATTTAGATTTGACACAGATTTTGAATAATACTAAAGGCAATATCTGAAGGTCTTTCACTTTTTTGGCAAATAAATATTTTATTTCTTATTTTAGATGAAAATGCCTTGCATCCTTGACACTCCTTGTAACCAAAACCCCCCAAAAAGCTTTGATTATTTTGGCAATCTCTCAGTAGGGAAGGCCTGGAAGCCTGGATTCACTTTGGCTCTTCACTGCAGATTGTCCCCCCCCCCCCCCCTCCAAAAAAAATAAAAAAATCAGAAACTTGGCAGTCAATATTTTGTTTATATACCGTATCCAGCATGCGGATCCTTAAAAAAAAAGAGATTTTTGAAATTCAAAATATGCCTGTCAAGGTTGTTTTTCAAGGGAATTTAGCCATTCAAGAGTTTAAATATTGTGTAGGCACAAGTAAAGAATTGTGCCTGGTCAATTTTTTGTATACACTGCATTCTATGTCTGTTTTTTTTTTTATACAAATCATTAGTCTAGAATCTTGATATTTGTTTATAATAATGATTATGCTCAAGAAGCTTCCCTCTATAGCAAACAATGCCTAATTGGCGCCTGTTCGTCCCCCATGATTCTCTTTTTCTTATGTTAATTGAGAGCTGATTTAAAGAGATAGCCACTTGTCAGTGATCTTGCAGGGAGGTCTAATCCCCCTGGCCAAATTAGTGCAGACGGGCTTTAAAACAGCAAAAATATTGATATTTAGTTAGACTGCCATCTAATGTCAAGCATCTTTGATATTATAATACAAAAACTAGATAGATGTATGTGACTTATGAGATGTCAATCTCAGACTTGCCCAACTGGTTAAAATTTACTTGCATATCTTACTCTTACTTCTGTGTCATAAGTTACTAGTGCCTTCAGAATGCTGTTGTTTCCTTTATATCATTTGTATATATTTTTTTTATAATTGTATGAGCTTACACCAACTTCATAACCTTTATCATTCCTACCATCTGAAATTATGCTCAAATAAATATATGGTGTTGGGGGAAATCAGAGAAATCAGAGAAGCATGTTTGGACATTTTTTTTGATGATTTAGGCTGATAATGGAGTTATGAATGTTTGAATGTTGAGATCACCAAGTGTTAAAAATCTCAAATGTAGGTGATTGGCTTTTTAAGTGTGATGTAGATAGTAAAAAAGTTTTGATTGTTGTGCACTGAAATATTGCGAGCTACTAAATGTCTTGGTTAACACTTTTCCTACCATGGTAGACTACCGGTAATAACAAAATGGCCGACTGCTACAGTTTACTTTTGTCAGTTACAGTGCAAACACGTATGTACCATGCTTTGCAGACAAACTGTGACAGTCTTGGTTTTCATAAAAAAGGATGAACAAAAGATTAAAAGGCAACTTTCACCTTTAAAAAAATGAATCTATAGGCCTACATGTACACAAATATGATGAATAATATCTGTAATGATAGCTGGATTTACCTACACTGGGTTCTCAAGCATGTACATGTATGTAGCATTCACACTCATATGACAGCATTCAAGCCACACTTTACAAAGTAATGCTAGTGCCCCCTACTTTTTCAAGTACCCCCAAAATGCCCCCTTTTACATAGGAAAAGTGCCCCTTCCCCTTTTCACCTCTGATCAGTGCCCCCTTTATTTTGACACGTGCCCATTTTCCTTTGCAATAAGTGTCCATGTTCCATTCTCATAAGCGCCCTTTTTAATCCCTACAAAGTGCCCCTTTTCACTTTTGATAAGTGCCTCCTTCACCGCTGATGATTGCCCTATTCAAATCTGAGAGGTGCCCTTTTTCCTTTGCAAGAAGTGCCACTACCCCTTTTCACCTCTGATAAGTGCCCCTTTTATTTTGACACATGCCCATTTTCCATTGCAATACGTGTCCATTTTCCATTCCCATAAGTGCCCTGTTTAATCTCTAGTAAGTGCCCCTTTCACTTTTGATAAGTGCCCCCTTCACCTCTGATAATTTGCCCTTTTCCTTTGTAAGAAGTGCCACTACCCCCTTTTTTAAAAATCTGTATTTCCCCCCACAGTAGGGCATTTTATTTATTTATTTACCCCTGTTTTAACACGGATAAGCGCATCTTTTATTTTTACATGTGCCCCTTTTCCTTATTTTTTTCTTCTCTCTTTTCCTCTTCATAGGGACTTTTTTAATTCCATTTCAAAATACATATAGACTATTTACAAACAAGTAAAATGAAACGTATGAATTGTCTACAAGATCAACATAATTTCTTAAAATGATCATTATAACATTTCTATTACTTTCTTAACTTCATTAACCAAATATCTTATATTTTCTTTGTATTTCAAATAACATATTAATGATGAAATAAATTATTTATTAACCTCTTTGGATTGGTTGGTACATGTACTTCCCCAAAGTTCCGCCTTTACGGAATCTTTGTATATTACCAGTTGTGCATAATTTATCAAAAAAATAAGTAAAGTAAACTTTCTGTTATTTATTTTATATCCAATTATCAATTACATTTTTATATCAATTTCAATTTCTATTTTACAGATGAAATATATAGATCTAATTCTTGAGATAATTATCCAGAAAACTCCTAATTTCTTGCAACGAAAAATAAAATGCTCAATAGTTTCTTTTTCACGACAAATTTCACATTTCGTAGACTGTACGATTTTCATGTAAAGAGATTGTCTTTAGAGGGCAATATCCTATGAGCTAATTTGAAATTATATTGTTTTATATTATTGTCTCTTATTTTATTAAATTTGAACTGAAACACATCTTTCTAAACAAATGTTTCTGGTATGCCTAAAATATTTTGCCAAAAATGAAAACCAACTTTCTCTTTTTTCTTTTCTAGCATTAAATTATAGTAACTTTTCCCTATGGTACATTCAACGTTTATAACATCTAAATTTGTCTCAATATACATTGTTTCATTGAGACTTTTTCTTATAATAAGTGCCCCCATTTAAAAAAAAGCCCCCTTCCCTTCTCATAAATGCCCCTTTTCACATATTGAAATTGTTCCTTTTCATAGTCATACGTGCTCCGTTTCATCACTGGTAAATGACCCTTTTCAGGTACGAGAAGTTACTCCTTTTCACTTCAGACACAAATGCCCCCTTCACATCCAATAATTTGCCCCTATTCAAATCTGAGAGATGCTCGTTTTACCTTGACAAGTGCCCATTCACCTCCTGATAACTGCTCTTTTCATATCTGATGAGTGCCCCTTTTCACCTCTAATAACTGCCCCTTTTGTGTTAACTTGACACGTGCCCCCTTTTCGTTACTAATAAATGCTATTTTTCCTTCTTATAAGTGCCCCTTTCCCTTCTCATAATAACCACTTTTCATCTTTGAAAAGTGCCTCTTATGGGGGGGGGGGGGGGGGGGTAAGAGCACTTTTGTTGGGGGGGGGGGGGTCTCCTTTAGCACATTTTTTTTTAACAATTAAAACAAATTGAGGGGGTTAACCCCACCCACCCCCAACCCCCTCCCCCCTGCGCAATTACTTTTCCCATTTAGGCCATATTCTATTATTTAATATTCGAATAATAGCTATTGTTTGTTTGTTTGTTTATCTATTTAAATACCGTATTTATTCGTTTCAGAAGTGTTTTTACACTACGGCTTGACATGAACAAGTATTGCTTAGTATTATTTTTAAATAAGCTGAATTCTAACGCACTAAAAATTGTAATACGGTCGGCATTTCACACGCACCGGACCCCCCCCCCCCCCCCCCCAGTTTTTCTCTAATTTGTAGTTGTCACTTAGTGCAATTTCCATGTATTTTCTCCCTTTCTAACCCGGCTTTTTTTCCCTTTTTTTTTCTCTTTTTTTTTCTTTTCCTCTTTTTTTTTTTCTCTCTCTCTTTCTTTTCTTTTTTTCTTTTCTCTTCACCTTTCCTATTTTCCTCTTCTTTTCTTCCTCTTTTCTTTGTGCCGCCAATATGGGAGGGGGGGCGGCCGTTTCGGCCCCCCATGATCCGCCACTGCTTAACGAACCACTGACGTATAAGACGACTGTCCAACGAATGAGAAACGATCGACGCGTTATTACCGCCGGTCACGTGACGTGTCTTAGGTGACCTTCACTCCCGCCCCCCCCCTCCCCCCACTTAGTGTTATTTATAGTACGCGTATGCATGTTCCCTCTTTTTGAAAGCACACGAATGAGAAACGATCGACGCGTTATTACCGCCGGTCACGTGACGTGTCTTAGGTGACCTTCACTCCCGTCCCCCCCCCCTCCCCCCCCCCACTTAGTGTTATTTATAGTACGCGTATGCATGTTCCCTCTTTTTGAAAGCACACCCTCCGATGCATTCGCCCCCTCCGCCAAGATCCCTCATACAGTTGTAGTGGGAATGGGCGCTGAACAGACTGATATGATGATCAAAACCAATCACCACTTAGCAGAGATACCCAGGCATGAATTCTCCAAAATATATAAATGTTCCAATTATTGAACAATTCCCAAGTTGTATTTCATAAAATCACCACAGATAATATCACAAAAGTATACTTGGCTAAACTACAAGCGATATTTAGGATTGTTCTCTTAAGTGAATTGCAGAGAAATTATATTTATGAAGATTCTCCAAATGAGATGATGGAGGTAGGAATTGAGGGGTGTAGAGATGTAAAGATGACGTAATTCCCAAATTAACGTGTTGACTCGATGAGAAAATTTTGAGAAGTGTTTTTTTTAAAAGAGAGAAGTGACTAAGAGGATAAAAAAAGAAGATGTTGTTTTGTTCCTTCTTGCGAAACTGGATGAAGACAAAGAGAGCATACGATACCAATTCCGGGGGATAATAGTCGGGGGGGGGGGGGGACTCATATTTGGTGTAGACGGGGTGTGCCACTGAATCCTCGAATCCCCTACCCATTTTTAAGGGTAATTTGGGGGGGGGGTTTTCACGAAATAAAGGCCTATTTTCAAAATTTTGGAAATTTAAAAACGGACCCATGTTTAGGATATTTGTGTTAAAAATGGGACCCATGTTTAGGTTTTTTTGTGCAAAAGTGACCCATTAGAGTGGCACACCCTTTTATGTCTTAATATGTGATCAGTATCCCCCCCCCCCCCCCGGGTCAGGTAAAAGTGAGTCACTGGTGATTGCCGTGTACAAGGCCATGCTGCCATTAAAGGTAAAGACCAGTATTGGAAACGCCCCAATTTCAAAAAATGAAATTGAAGCTCTCATTACCAATCATGTGAAAGAATATGTTTTGACTAATACATGATGATAAAAAATTTGCCGGGAAACTGCCCACTAATTCATATATTTGGTAAATTTGTTTCTCTCATGGTCTGTGAGAGATATAGGGTAGTCCCATATACATCTTTCTGTGTATAGTGCTTGTAACTTTACGAAGAATGGGCCAAATTCCAGATTCCACGATTCCAGAACCTTGCAGATGCTAGATGCTAGATGATCAACCTTTTCTGATCGATTCCACAACGTTTCTTTCACAATGCAATCGCATGACCATAACTGGTCTTTACCTTTATTACCGTAGTTGTAGATAAATAGCATAGGAGGGATGGTAGTGACTGGTATATCAGAGGGCAATATCCTCAAAACTCAAAGATCTTCAAAGATTTGCAAAATAAGATATGAAATTGAGAAATGAAGAAGGATAAAATGAGGAAAATACTACTGTCTGTCAAATTCTCAGTTCCACTTTTTATATGCGCAGTCTCCTCACCTTTTGGAGTCTATCTTATGTTTGTCCATATGTGTTTAATTCCCATTAATTTCACATCCTTTCAAAGAGGAGAGAGGGTATAGGATAATATTTCTTAAAAGACTTCTCTTTGCACGTGTTCACCTATATGGGAGTAAAGATTTTCGGAGGTCAAAAGCACCCATATTGCTGCAAATTCATGCGAGGTCTCCTGAGCTTTTCAGGTATATATTATTAGCTATGTCTTCATATTTCATATGAGTCACATTTTCCGCAATTTCAAAGTTATACCAAGTACATTACAATTACAACCTTGTTTTCGCCCTTCTTTCCGCTTTTCAAAATAATCCGCACACAGGGAGGGTTTTCACGAATGGATGCCGCATACGGTCCATTGAAATATTTCAATGGTGAGATGTGCATGGGTGACTGCAAACACGTCACGTAACTCACGTGCCTATGAACACAAATCATATTTGGTGTAGACGGGGTGTGCCACTGAATCCTCGAAACCCCTACCCATTTTTAAGGGTAATTTGGGGGGATTTTTTCACGAAATAAAGGCCTTTTTTCAAAATTTTGGAAATTAAAAAAACGGACCCATGTTTAGGGATATTTGTGTTAAAAATGGGACCCATGTTTAGGTTTTTTGTGCAAAAGTGACCCATTAGAGTGGCACACCCTTTTATGTCTTAATATGTGATTAGTACCCCCCCCCCCCCGGGTCAGGTAAAAGTGAGTCACTGGTGATTGCCGTGTACAAGGCCATGCTGCCATTGATACCGTAGTTGTAGATAAATAGCATAGGAGGGATGGTAGTGACTGGAATATCAAGAGGGCAATATCCTCAAAACTCAAAGATCTTCAAAGATTTGCAAAATAAGATATGAAATTGAGAAATGAAGAAGGATATATGAGGAAAATACTACGGTCAGTCAAATTCTCAGTTCCACTTTTTATATGCGCAGTCTCCTCACCATTTTGAGTCTATCTTATGTTTGTCCACATGTGTTTAAATCCCATTATTTCACATCCTTTCAAAGAGAATAGAGGGTATAGGATAATATTTCTTAAAAGACTTCTCTTTAATTGCACGTGTTCACCTATATGGGAGTAAAGATTTTTTTCAGAGGTCAAAAGCACCCATATTGCTGCAAATTCATGCGAGGTCTCCTGAGCTTTTCAGGTATATTTTATTAGCTATGTCTTCATATTTCATATGAGTCACATTTTACGTAATTTCGAGGTTATAGTTACCAAGTACATTACAATTACAACCTTGTTTTCGCCCTTCTTTCCGCTTTACAAAATAATCCGCACACGGGGAGGGTTTTCACGAATGGATGCCGCATACGTTCCATTGAAATATTTCAATGGGCAGATTTGCATGGGTGACTGCAAACACGTCACGTAACTCACGTGCCAATTACGCAAATCATATTTGGTTTAGACGGGTGTGCCACTGAATCCTCGAAACCCCTACCCATTTTTAAGGGTAATTTGGGGGGATTTTTCACGAAATAAAGGCCTATTTTCAAAATTTTGGAAATTTATAAAAACGGACCCATGTTTAGGGATATTTGTGTTAAAAATGGGACCCATATTTAGGTTTTTTGTGCAAAAGTGACCCATTAGAGTGGCACGTACACCCCATTATGTCTTAATATGTGATCAGTATCGCCCCCCCCCCCGGGTAAAAGTGAGTCACTGGTGATTGCCGTGTACAAGGCCATGCTGCCATTGATACCGTAGTTGTAGATAAATAGCATAGGAGGGATGGTAGTGACTGGAATATCAAGAGGGCAATATCCTCAAAACTCAAAGATCCTCAAAGATTTGCAAAATAAGATATGAAATTGAGAAATGAAGAAGGATATATGAGGAAAATACTACGGTCAGTCAAATTCTCAGTTCCACTTTTTATATGCGCAGTCTCCTCACCATTTTGAGTCTATCTTATGTTTGTCCATATGTGTTTAAATCCCATTAATTTCACATCCTTTCAAAGAGAATAGAGGGTATAGGATAATATTTCTTAAAAGACTTCTCTTTAATTGCACGTGTTCACCTATATGGGAGTAAAGATTTTTTTCAGAGGTCAAAAGCACCCATATTGCTGCAAATTCATGCGAGGTCTCCTGAGCTTTTCAGGTATATTTTATTAGCTATGTCTTCATATTTCATATGAGTCACATTTTACGTAATTTCGAGGTTATAGTTACCAAGTACATTACAATTACAACCTTGTTTTCGCCCTTCTTTCCGCTTTACAAAATAATCCGCACACGGGGAGGGTTTTCACGAATGGATGCCGCATACGTTCCATTGAAATATTTCAATTGTCAGATTTGCATGGGTGACTGCAAACACGTCACGTAACTCACGTGCCTATGAACACAAATCATATTTGGTGTAGACGGGGTGTGCCACTGAATCATCGAAACCCCTACCCATTTTTAAGGGTAATTTGGGGGGATTTTTCACGAAATAAAGGCCTATTTTCAAAATTTTGGAAATTTAAAAAAACGGACCCATGTTTAGGGATATTTGTGTTAAAAATGGGACCCATGTTTAGGTTTTTTGTGCAAAAGTGACCCATTAGAGTGGCACACCCTTTTATGTCTTAATATGTGATTAGTATCCCCCCCCGGGTCAGGTAAAAGTGAGTCACTGGTGATTGCTGTGTACAAGGCCATGCTGCCATTAATACCGTAGTTGTAGATAAATAGCATAGGAGGGATGGTAGTGACTGGTATATCAGAGGGCAATATCCTCAAAACTCAAAGATCTTCAAAGATTTGCAAAATAAGATATGAAATTGAGAAATGAAGAAGGATAAAATGAGGAAAATACTACTGTCAGTCAAATTCTCAGTTCCACTTTTTATATGCGCAGTCTCCTCACCTTTTGGAGTCTATCTTATGTTTGTCCATATGTGTTTAAATCCCATTAATTTCACATCCTTTCAAAGAGAATAGAGGGTATAGGATAATATTTCTTAAAAGACTTCTCTTTAATTGCGCGTGTTCACCGCCTATATGGGAGTAAAGATTTTTTCGGAGGTCAAAAGCACCCATATTGCTGCAAATTCATGCGAGGTCTTCTGAGCTTTTCAGGTTTATATTATTAGCTATGTCTTCATATTTCATATGAGTCACATTTTACGCAATTTCAAAGTTATACCAAGTACATTACAATTACAACCTTGTTTTTGCCCTTCTTTCCGCTTTACAAAATAATCCGCACACAGGAAGGGTTTTCACGAATGGATGCCGCATACGTTCCATTGAAATATTTCAATGGTGAGATGTGCATGGGTGACTGCAAACACGTCACGTAACTCACGTGCCTATGAACACTAATCAATATCCACGTTCGAAATATGCATCATTTCATTATATTAGGCCTATCATTGCCAACACGTAAGCTACAGACCGATTATTATATTGGTTCATCTTCGAAGTACGCTGTATTTAGAAACACACCTGGGCAGGTGACACGGTAAGTACATGCTTCTTCCAAAAAACCTTTCATACCTGTGTATAGTGTTAAATGTGTGAAGCCATTTCATTAGGCCTATCATTGCCAACACGTAAGCTACAGACCGACTATTATATTGGTTCATCTTCGAAGTACGCTGTATTTAGAAACACACCTGGGCAGGTGACACGGTAAGTACATGCTTCTTCCAAAAAAACCTTTCATACCTGTGTATAGTGTTAAATGTGTGAAGCCATTGCAAAAGTTATTAGATCAAGAAATGTCATCACTTTTGTGGTGATATAAGGAGGAATAAATATAGAACACCTGGGCAGGTGACACGGTAAGTACATGCTTCTTCCAAAAAACCTTTCATACCTGTGTATAGTGTTAAATGTGTGAAGCCATTTCATTAGGCCTATCATTGCCAACACGTAAGCTACGTAAGGGATGCCGTTAGATAATACCTTCTTCTTCTTCTCTTTTTCATCCGATTATTCTGGAGATCATTGGTAATAATTATTAACACGATCGAGAAGATGAAGCCTTGCTTGTATGTGCTGTGTATACAGCGAAAGGGCTCAAACTTAGATTTCCGAAGCAGAACAGAGAGAGAGACATTATTATTTGCCACAAGAATTATACCAATGACTTATTTACCTTATGGACCGAATAACTCCAAATTGCCCTTCAAACAGCCTCCTGTACTCTAATTTCGCTCCATTCAATACCACTACGGAGATGGAATCGCTCCATGCAAATACCACTACCTATACCAGGGAGATGGAATACGAAGCCTGCAATTCTTTTTGCTGACTTGTCTGTTTGCATATTTGCCAACCTTTTTGAAGAGCTGCATGCAGACTGAGAAGTCTGATCTTCAGCCCCCCCCCCCCTCCCCCAAGCATACACGTATAGAGCTCACTTCTCTTTTCGTTTCTTGTCTTTATTGTGTGGAATAATTTTTCCAGAAAGAAAGGAAAGATACCAGAGAAGGAGAAAGGAGGAGAATCGAGGAGAAGAAGTAGGAAAAAGAAAAAAAAGAAAAACGTTATAATAGGAACAGACTACCCTGTAACTATGTATGATTATATTCTTGGGGGGGGGGGGGGGGGGGGGCTAATACAAACCGAAAGCGCATACATTATGACACAAATATGATAAATATATCAAGTTAATTAACCTCAATATGGAAGGTATGAATTACTGCATGGAAATCTGTATGAAAAATTACTGAACGACGTCACCGGATTCCGGAACATCAGTTTACGGGTACCGTCACATTTCCCGCCGTTCATGGGCAAAGAATGTTATACCAAGAAGTCTTAAAACTCCTTGGTTATACGACATTTTATGGTGTTGGCTTAAGATAATCCATGACGTAATAACGAATGGAGTATTTTATAGGCTCCTGTCGATCATATGTTACATTAGTTTTTGTTTCTTGTCGGCTCTGTATCCCTCGAACGTTGTACTCATTTACGGTACATTACCCTAAACAAATAATTATTTAGTTACCCGTACTGTTATGCAACGGTATAAAGGCTTCACCCAGTCATAGAGGTATGTTTCTAAAAATAGCCACATACGTAACCACAACCCTAATCCTATAAAACTCAACTATATATGCAAAACAGGGAACGCAAATTAGCTACCTTTGGCTACGTTAATTACGTTATTGACTATTTTTAGAAACATTCATACGACATATTAAAATAAAGCTCACCTTTTGTAACTGGCTTTTCAGCTTGTTTGAAATCCCGAATTCTTGTTGCTCCACAGGGAGAATTCATAATCGCATCGTTTATTTTCAACGTGTCTTTTTCTTTTATAGATTCTGAGGAAACAGCAAAAGCATAGCGGCCCAAATTTGTTCATCTAATTTGCCTTCCAAAGTTTCAGCTGAACTAAGTGAGGAAATCAGTCGTCATGATTGTAGACTTGGTTCGTGATGTGTTCGACGTTGGTTTTAGCAGTATTTTGTTAGGAATAGCGACGACGCTTGTGCTTGTATGGATGATGAAATGGATGTCGACACGAAGAAGGCTAAATCTGCCACCGGGGCCGATGGCCATGCCGTGGCCGTTGAATTTCGTGATGGACTTATTATTGCTACTTCAAGGTACCAACCCGTATGTAATGCTCCGGAAGCTGACTGAAAGGTATATATTACAAGATCTAAAAACACTAAAAACTAAAACACCAATTTCGCCTTCTTCCTTCCGTTGTAGATTTCTTCCGCTCCTTCTTTAATGCTATCACTCTCCCTCTCTCTCTCTCTGCTCTCTCTTTTCTCTCTCATCGTTTTTTCTCTCGCTCACATGTAATTTCATGCCTCCTTTTCTCTCGTTTCTTCCCCCCTCTCTTCAAAGGTAAGTACAGCCTTTTTGATCCCCCTTTTCCTCCTTTGTCATCGCAAGCCCCTATTCTCTCAATTATTGTTAAATGAAGAAGATGTATGTATGTATTTTTATGTCGTTCTTGTCGTGTATTCAGGCGCGTACGCAGGGGGGGTGTTTTGGGGGGTTAAACCCCCCCCTTTGGTATTTTTATGTGTGTAAACCCCCCTAAAAAATCCCTAAACCCCCCCCCCCCCCTTTGGATTTTTTTTTTTTTTTTTTTTTTAATTATTAAAAAAAAAAAAAAAAAAAAAAAAAAATTACCCACATGGCTGACCTAAGAAAGGTGACCTTACCCCCCCCCCCCCAACGGAGCAAAATGTAAAATTTTCAAATTTCGAGACCAAAAAAAAAAAAAAAAAGTGTCCGCTGACCGTTGTCCGCATTTCGGAGAACTTCAATTAAATTCAAAAAGGTTTATTATACAACATGATTTTCAGCAATATGCTGAATGGATATATTCCCCAGATTAGGAAAAACGAACATTGAAAATGCAGGTTACTTAGTAATGTGTTAAGGCATTATATAAATAAAGATATGTATGATTATAAGAGGTATCTTAAAAAATACCGCAATGAAAAGTGGAATCACACCTCAACCATAGAATGCTCTTTAATCCGGTAGATACGGCGAGATCCTTTACCTCGTCGAAGGTGGACGTCGTTTTGTATTTCTTGCTAGCCCCGAGCTCGTCAATGAGGTTCTTGTCAAACAGGCTGACATCACATCCGGAAGAGAAGACTCCTGGGAACTCAAAGCAGTCACCCATTATCATGGTAAGACGAAATTGTTAAATGAAAACGGAGCAAAGGTGGGAGGGAGGGGGGGGGTTAAAGGGGCAATGTCCCCGATAATACTTGGGGGTTTCTGGGGGGGGGGGGGAGGCGTACGTTCTTCAATTAATTATTGTGTTGGTTAACTTTTTTTGAATATAAATCTCGATGTAGACATGATTTGAAAGATAAGAAGGCCTATAATTGCGATATTAAGTCATTTTGTAGTGTGCGAGTGATCGATGTAAGCGAACAAGAATTTTGGGCCACATTATTTTATGAATTACAGGTGCATTATTTACCGTGCTTAAACAATAATCTTCTGATTTGAATGTTTGGGGATATTCAAGTTTATTTCAATTCAAAACATAGTTACAGCGGTCAAGTCTGTATGGTTTGACCTAGGCCTATATAATGGGATGCGTGATCCGAGTTCCCCTCTTCATTTTTATTGTTTGACCTCATAATCCATGCCACAGTAACATATCCATTTCTCAGAAAGATCTTGAGAAAATTATTAATTAGGTTTAAAAAAAAACAATTTGATGATTATTTATCTTGCAATAATTCCCTAATTGAACTGAAAACTCGGGTATTATCTTCTTTTCGGGGAGGGAAACCGCTTATTATCCCCTTCAAATACGTTGGAGAGTATACATAATATGCTTATGATTTACGACAGGGGCGTAAATCCGTACCGAGGAGTGGGGGGATGATTGGCGATAGCCATCACATACTAGCACGAGCACACGCCCACACTAATCTACGCAAGCGCGCGCGATCGCGCACGCACAAACACACAACACACACACAACACCACACACGCACACACACGAACGCTCGCTCATTAGGGGTGTGTGGGTGGGTGATAGGCCTACCGCGCGAAGCTTAGAAGCTTAGACGTTTCCTTAAATTCTTTAAAAGAAGACGATTTATTGCACCGTTCTCTACTGTTAACCCTTGTCTGAATGAATCCCCCCCCCCTTTAGCGCGAAGCGCGAAAGTTTTGGCGTTTCATTAAATTGTTATAAAAAGAAGACGATTTGCTGTACCGTTCTTGACTGTAAATCCTTGTCTGAATTCAGTCCCCCCCGGCCCTCCCCTCCCGCGCGGAAGTTTTGGCGTTTCATTAAATTATTAGAGAAAGTAGACAATTCGTTGAACCGTGCTCGACTCTTAATCCTTGTATGAATTCAGTTTCTCCCTCTCTCTCCTGCACGAAGCGCGAAAGCTTTGACATTTCATTAAATTATTAGAGAAAGTAGACGATTTGTTAAACCGTGCTCGACTCTTAATCTTTGTCTGAATTCGGTTTACCCCTCCCGCGCAAAGCGCGGAAGTTTTGACGTTTCATTAAATTATTAGAGAAAGCAGACGATTGGGTGTACTGTTCTCGACTCTTAATAAGCCATATTTATCTGAATTCAGTTTCCCCCTCTCGCGCGAAGCGCGGAAGCTTTGACGTTTCCTTAAACTATTAGAGAAAGCAGACGATTGAGTGTACTGTTTTCGACTCTTACTGTGACATACTGTATACGTGTAGGCTATACAGTTATACATACATTAAAAATAACTCATTTCTCATGCATTATGCTGAAATTGATACAATCACATTTTTTCCTTCTTCTTCTTCTTCCTTTTTTTCCCTCTTTTTTTTTGTAATATCAGGGGGGATGTTTGTACAGGCCATCCCCCCTACTTCAAGCCAGGGGGGATGCAGCCCCCCCCCATTCCCCCAGGGATTTACGCCCCTGATTCACGATATACATTTTGTAATTTTTGATGTATGCAATCCATTGATTTTAATCTCTCTTTGTACCTAAAGGCGGAATTGTTTTCTCGGAAGGAGACGACTGGAAACAACACCGACGCTTTGGTCTCGCTGCGCTTCGTAACTTCGGAATGGGGAAAAAATCTCTCGAGAACTCGATCAACACGGAAGCTCGGATATTAAATGAGGTTTTATCGGGTAAGATCGGCAAGCCATTCGATCCTTCCTTTGTAATAAACAACGCTGTATCAAACATCATCTGTGCCATTACGTTCGGTCGACGATTCGAATACTCGGATCCCAAATTCAAAGAGATGATTCAACGGATCAACTTATTTGCTGCCGAAGATCCGGGTATCCTGTCGGACCTCCCTACCTTCATCAGCACGGCTCGCCGAAGGAATCTTTTGGAAGTCCGGAAGTTCCTGGAGGAGGAGATCAATGAGCATAAGTCGACCTTTGAACCCAGTGACGTCAGAGATGTCATTGATTTGTACTTGAAGGAAATATATCGAGCGCGGGAAGCGGGTGAGAAGAATGAACTGGATTTGACGAAAGCATGGCCACTCGTCTTCGATTTCTTCTTGGCGGGGACGGAAACGACATCGACCACGCTGCTTTGGGCTTTCCTGTTGATGGCAGGCCATCCAGAAGTTCAGGAAAAGGTATGAAATCAATCACATCACAAGATCAATTACACAACAATTATATTTTATTAATTATTTTTTAAATATTTGTTATTTGTTATATTATTTATTGTTTGAAATTTCGCATAACAAGATTGTCTTATACATAAGATTAAACAAGTAAAGAGAATGTATAATAAAACAATGACAGACATGTAACATATAGAGAAATGATAATGTGAAATATGGGGAATCTATTCAGAAGCAAAGCTTATAATAGTTTTCCGAATACAGTACAAAAATATTGTAACTAAATTTGATATGAATATAGAAAATCGTAAACAAAGTTTCAGTCAATGACGTACGTGCATTAGCATCATGAATAACATGTTAAGATAAAAGTAGTACATACAGATTCCGTGTATGTATCAATGGTCATTTGAGAGAAACAATAAAAGTCTGTACTTTGTATTTAAACACAATATATGAATTTAAAAGGAAATATTTGAGCTTACGCTTGAATAAATATCATAGTGAAGATGATTCTGTTGTTTTTATGTCCGAGCTATTCCAAACTGTGAACCTGTATAATATGTTATCGTTTTGAGAGCAAAAACTGTACGCATAGAGAGAGAGAGAGAGAGAGATGAAAATAGGATTTTGCCTGGTAGGGTAGGAATAATTGAATAGCAGTGATCATTAAATATTATATTTCGTTCATTTTCTCGTCAGATTGTAGCTGAGATAAGCTCAGTCCAGTGGCGGATCCAGGGGGGGGGGGCCCGGGGGGCCCGGGCCCCCCCCCCTTGAGAAAAAAATCATGTAAAATCACGTGATTTTTACCTTTTTTGGGGGTTGGGCCCCCCCCTGGCGCTCAAGGGGGGGGTGCAAATTGAAATTTTTTTTGAGGACAAAAAAAAAAAGTGCTCACTACCCCCCCCCCCCCCCCCCCCCCCCCCCCCCCCCCAACTGAGCGAATTTTTGGCCGGCGCGTTTTTCAAATTTTCGGGAGCAAAAAAAAAAAAAAAAAAAAAAAAAAAAAAAAAAATGGTGCTCTGTACCACCCCCCCCCCCCCCCACTGAGCGACTTTTCGGCCGGCGCGATTTTCAAATTTTCGGGAGCAAAAAAAAAAAAAAGTTGGGCCCCCTCCCCTAAGAAATCCTGGATCCGCGCCTGGCTCAGTCATCGGGTCTGGTGCCACGCCCCGATACGAGGACCGTAAATTGATGCCTTACACGGAGGCAACGCTCGTCGAGGTTCTCCGCTACCGCCCAATCGCCCCTATCGGTGTTCCACATCGGGCAACGTCTGATCTAAAGGTCAAAGGTTACGATATAGTTGAAGACGTCATTATTGTTATTAATATCCTGCATATTCACCATGACCCTAAGATATGGGGTGACCCGGAAGTTTTCCGACCTGAGCGTTTCCTGACAGAGGACGGGACGGCGTTAATTAAACATGAAGCTTATATGCCATTTGGAGTAGGTGAGGAGAAATACGATAGACGTAATCTTGTGCCGCCCTTTTTCGTATATTTTTCTTCTTCTTTCTAGTATAAAATCGTAATTCATGTACAATTGTTTTGATTACTGGCAAATCCTTTATTTCTGTCCACCCTTAATATGGTTTTCAGGTTTTTACCTGTCTTCTCTGATTGTTAGTATAATGAACAGCATTGAAACAAATATAAGCTTACTAGCTTGGTGTTTACTTGCACTGGACTTAGCATATTTTACTGTGAATTAACAAGTGCTTGGTCCACACACCATTCCAGCAATTCATGACACTCCTTATAGTTACTTGCCTCACCTACCATCCCAGTATAGCTTCCTGAGTGAGCTGCCAAAGGGATTACCCAACCAAGTACCAAGTATCTATCAGCTCTAGTTTGTCAGTGGGGGTGATTGTCGTTTCCGAGGTGTGTTAGGGTGCAAGGGGATGCATTGCAATTGGTTTTCTCTTTCACTAGATCAAGAAAGAGAAGTGCTGGAAATTATATCAATCTTACCGTTAGCCTGTCATTAATAATAATAATAAGAAGAATAATAGTGAACATTTATAATGCGCCATGTCTGTCAAAAATGACACTCCTGGCGCAGCTGTGTGGAAATGGTTAATTATGGTAAATGTCTTTGACTATGATCAAATGTCTGGAAATTGGAATTTAAATCACATATATCCATATTATGAATGTTCCCGGTATGTATATAGCAATACATTGATTACACAAATCGGAAAGTTTGTTGTTATTTATTCATATAGGCCTACTTTCTACGCTTTCTTTTATTTCTTTTAACATTCTTTTACAGGGCGTCGAGTTTGCCTTGGTGAGCAGTTAGCTAAGATGGAGTTGTTTCTATTCTTCACCAACATTCTTCAGAAGTTCAAGATCACCATGCCTCCTGGTGTGCAGCCGAACTATGACTTTGGGCATCGTGCTTTAACGACGCTGGTTCCTAAGGCATACGAGATCATACTGGAAGAGCGTTAGAGGGCGCCCATCAGGGGGGCGTTTCACAAAACTTGTCATCCGTGACAAATGTCAGTTTTTGTTATAAGCTACTGAAATCCTTGCTTCTGATTGGTTATCAGCAGAGTTGTCACTGGTTTTTGTCATTTGTCGTTGAAAAAAGGCTTTGTGAAACGCCCCCCCCCCCCCCCACCTTCCAGGTTTATGGATTTCTTCATAGCGTATCCGGTAGCGTATTAAGAGAGGATATGTATTGATAATAGTTGTAATATTATGCGCATACACGTGTGTGCGAACGCGATTCTAAGGTTAATCATGAGCTCCGAATAGTCCTCTCTAGAGTACCTATATATAGGTACTCTAGTCCTCTCTAGAGTACCTATATATAGGTACTCTAGTCCTCTCCCATGTGCAATCTATATGGGTGGGAACTATTCGGAACGTCTTCTATAGATTGACCAATCAAAAATTAAAAGGACAAAATACTTCCGGTGACGTGACGCCACTATCTCTCAGAGGTAGCCATGGATTGTATACGTTTGCTTAACGATTACTAATTCAAAGTGAGAAGATGAAGAGATGAGGGGGAAACAGTAGGCCTGTGCACTTGTTAATCCATTGTATAGGCCTATATAATATATATATATAAGAAAATATTGAGTTCTGATCGGCGTTCTGCTCAGGAAAATAAACAAAAGCACAACAAAATGAACAAGAAGAAATTACATGTGTATGTATATTGTAATCCGTTAACAAATAATTTTTTAAGGTATTTTTGTTTTGTTTTTTGTATTTAAAAAAAAAAATCAATCTTTATTCAGATTACATAACGGATAGCATCATACATAAATATTTATAACAAGCATATTATCGCATGTTTAATTGAGATCAAATCCTTTATTTGTATTTAGTTGAAAGCAGATTGTAGATGTAATTCCTGTTTTTAAGGTATGATTGATGTTGTATGCATTTAATGTACTAAGTTAGCAAAGGCATTATCATTATAACTAGCGTAGGATACATGAAAAGGTAAAGGAGTACGTGGTATGCGGTGCTCCTTTGCCGAAGAGAAACTTTCTAATTTCGCGGGTCACTGCTTAAAACTACTCGGGGGTTATAATTTATTTTATATTACACCCGATTTCATTCATTTTTTTCCATCGCAATTTTTGAATTGTACACATACTCAGTTAATGTTATTATGATGAAAACTAAATTGTAATTTCAAGAACTATTTATATTGTTTTTATATTGAATGAAATCAAAATTTTAAAAAAGGACGGGAAAACCTAAGACGTAATGGTGATATTTGTGTGACTATAAAACAATTATTTCTAGTTTCCTGTCCGAATTATGCGAAAATGGGGAAAGAGGGGGGGGGGGGGGGGGGGGCTTCTTCATGCTATTTGATATTTTGTGTACATAGAAATGCTATTGGGTCAATTTTATTACGAATTTTATTGGTATTACATGCATTGCAGAGGCTGGAAATAAGGTGAAGTTGCATATTGATTTTTGTCACACCATGTATTGTCAAGATAATCATTTTTTAGATTGCGATGATATATTTTAATTTCGAGCAAAAAAGATCAAATAACTTAAAGATCGAGGCGGGGCAAATAAAAGAAGGACGGAGGAGAGGACCATCAATTATTTTATTTGGTCTGATATAATTGTGCGCGACTGGGCGGGGGGGGGGGGGTCCACAGCAAAGCAGGGGATACCAAGAAAAAATAAGGAAAATATAATAATTTGTTTTCTTCCATTTATTTGTAGGCATTTCATTGCTATGACACATTTTGGTTTTGTAACTTTCTTAATCCTTGTTTATATTCATTATGATATTGGTTCACGTTATGTTTATTCGTTCACTATTTTTGTATGTAGCCTATAATTTTGCTTAATGACCTTTGCTATTCTTAAACCAATGGAAGAAACATATATGTTATAATGATAGATGAATCACATTCAATTTCAATGTGGTGAACTCGTTAATTTATAAGATTATATTTTTTTTGCCAGAAAATGATATTTCACATATTAATCAATTGTTTCCATGTGCAATTTGAATGAAAGATGTTAAAATTCAACATGATTTTAAATATATTTTAACTCATCTACAACATGTGACCGCAAACATGCCAACCTGACTATTCGTCGTCAAAATGACCTATTTTTCAATAATGTTCAGATCTAGATTTGCCATCCCTTCCTCGTTAGTGATGAAAAGGGAAACTTAATCCCCAGGCGACGAGCAGATGCGCTGGAAACAAGTCCCCACTATCACTTTACTAAATTTTCTCTGTTGAAACCATGATCGCTAAGTGTTTCCCTCTGAAAATGATCGCCATTTTGCCCAGGGGTCTCAGTAAAATTGTGAATACTGTAAGCATGCGTGACAAAGAAAACGCGTCGAAAGGGGTGTTTTTTTATAGATTGGACGCCGCGGTCCGCACGGTGCCCCCGGCCCCCCACTCAGTGTTTTTTAGGGTACGCATGTGCTTGTTCCCTGTTTTTGAAAGCTCCCCCTATCTGAAGACTGCCAACATTTCCTAACCCCCCTTTCGCGGGCTTCTCGGGGGCTTTTCCTGCCTTGGAGACCCCCCTAAATCAGGAAAAATGCTCAATGGACCCCCTAAATTCGGAATAATTTCTCAGGAGTCCAAAGAGATTAAAAAAAAAAAAAAAAAAAAAAAACCTTTTTAAAGAAATCTTTAAACACGCATGCGGTCATTCCGACCTCTGAGTGGGGGGCCGGGGCGGTGCCGCATAAAAGGGGTTAAAAAACGTCCATTTTGGCCCAATTTCAATTTTAAAAAAGGGTACTCTTTCAGAATGATCCAAAATCCTTCTGTACGCGCCTGTATACGCGTTCAGTGGTATTTTTTCTAGCCCTCAGGGCCAGAACGGGGAAGACAAAAAAAGAGGTAATAATTGCCCTTTGGCGAGACCACAGGCCTGCACCCGCCGGTATGTTCTTCAGTACATCAAGATGGATGCCCACGATACCGCCCCAGACCAACCAGGTCTCACGCCTATAGCTGGTCCCTTACATTTTATTTTGCATAGTAGAATAGTAACTGTTCATTGTACATTGTGTAATTTTTGTAAACACTTCATGTACTTTATATAAAATAGATCAAATTTGAAATGTAATTCTTCTTTTCAAAGAAAGCTAGTATTTATGATGGCTGTGCATTAAACCCATTTGGCAGTGTACAGGTTGATGTTATTGCTTCTCTATTGAAATAAATTCTTACATTGTGAATTTTACATCAGAAGCGCCATTTTATTTATTTTACATTGTGAACAACTTTAATGGTAATCCACATCGCACTTCAAAATGCTCAAGAAGTTACAATTTTACAGTACTTGTTTAGGATCTTTTTTGAAATACCCGTTTAGGGTGAAAATTCGGGGAAAAACCAACGCGAAATCCTTATTTAGGGTGTATTTTAGAAATCCTCGTTCAGGGGATGTCTGGAAAACTTGTGGTCACCATTTTGATATTCCAAGCAACGGAAGTCGCACCCGACTTTCTGTCTATGATGGGCAGTGTTTAGTCCTAATTAGCGTCGTCTGGAATCGAAAATAATCGTGAAAGTAACTGACGACTGTATCTTGAACAAGACAGGCCATGTATCAGCTGCTACAGGAAAGCCAGAAGAGAGAGAGAGAGAAAGAGAGAGAGAGAGAGAGAGAAATTTCCGTGTGGCTGTGTAGGATAAGACCAGGGCATGTCACCTCCCTGATAAGACCATATTGGCAACGAAGAGACAAAACTTGAAGAGATCAAGAGAGAGAAAGAGAAAGACAGCAAGAATCAGTAAGGCTGTGTAGGAGAAGACCATATTGGCAACGATGAGGACTTGAACAGAGAGAGAGAGAGAGAGATCAATTTGATGAGTGTATAATGCTCAAAGGCGAAAGGACTTTCTTTGTTTCCGCGAAATATTTTTATGGAACTGTAAATAATGTTGTAAACTGACGAGACATCGTGTCTTTCCAATGGCCTGACTCGGAGTCAATCGGGTTTTCGCTCAGCGACGGACACATTACCTTCTACGACGCGGGAGCACTCAGGGTTAGTTTAAAAAAACAATAATCGAAAAAACCCTCACTGAAAGGCCGTTCGAGTTGAAATACGTACGTCATCCTTCTTTTCCGTCCCTTGATGGGATCATCGCATGCCCGGCCCCCCCACTCAGAGGTCGGAATGACCGCATGCGTGTTGCCAAAATGTCCGGTAAAGGGGTACTTTTCGTGCGACAAAGTCCGGCCCGAGAATTGTAAAAAAAGGGGTGTATTTGACTTTTCACCCAGAGATTTCTTTAAAAAGGGGTTGTTTTTCTTTTTTTCTCTCATCTCTTTGGACTCCTGAGAAATTATTCCGAATTTAGGGGGATACATTGAGCATTTTTCCTGATTTAGGGGGGTCTCCAAGGCAGGAAAAGCCCGCGAAAAGCCCGCGAAAGGGGGGTTCGAAAATGTTGGCAGTCCTCAGATAGGGGGTGCTTTCAAAAAGAGGGTACGAGCATATGCGTACCCTAAATAACACTGAGTGGGGGGGCCGGGATCGCATGTAATAAAACGATGAAATTCCCATACAATCTTTGATACAAGCGCGCTGATTGGCTGTTGTTTCACTTGGGGCAAACACCGTTCTGGATTTCAGTACCTCAGCGGTCACTTCGCTGTTACTATATAGTAGCTTCCCGATTCGGCACACGAACCGCAGAATCTCTGTCCACGTTGAGCTTGCGTTCCTGTGTTTGGTAGACCGGCGGCATGGAGATAAATGATCTCAAAAACTGCAAAAAGGACAGGAGGTTCGAGTGGTTACTTTACTAAAGTGACACTAAACGTTATTTTAAACATAAATGTAACGACAAACATATCTCAACTTAAACTCTTTGCCCTTTCCACGAGCTCGATCCAGAATCCACAAATTCTACTTTTAAGATTCTCTGACACGATGGAGGTACCTCTTATCTTAATTAGCACATTCCACATTACCATTTATCGTGGAAGCCTGCTCTATTACCTATTGGCAGTTTGCTAGGTCAGGCAACACAGCAAAACAGTTTATTTTTGTGACGTGTTCTGCTCATTTATTCTTTTTCTACCAAGATGTAACACTTTTTTTTTTAATTTTTTTTTTTACTGTTTTATGACATTGTTTTCCCATTTCCCTAGCATTCATGATTATTTAGTAATACTCGACCTGGGTCGAGTGTGGCAAATTTAGATAAATGTCTCGCTAAAGGACATTAGTGCCGCGACAAAACTTGAACCGCGAACCATGCTATCCACAGTCCGGTGACGCGCGTA